TGTGAAGGCCGAAGAGACACTGCGCGTTGGGCCATCAAACGGTGCCCTGCGCCAGGGTCCTCGCTATCAGAAAAAATTGTCTGTTTTTCTGAGTTTTCAAATGACTGTTTTTTTTTGTGCAAATCTGATTTTTTTCATAATTTGGGTTTATATTTTATCTGATCGATCAGAAAATGATGTTTTGATTTCCCCTGATCCATCAGAAACGTGTTTCCGGTTTTGTCTGAAACTGAAACATATAGTAGCGCGATTTCGGACAGTGACGGCGAATCTGTGCCCTGACAGGGCGAATCTCTACCCTGACAGGGCGAATCTCTTCCCTGACAGGGCGAATCCCTGTCCTGACAGTACAATTCCCTGCTGTGACCCGAGGGCGAATGTTTTATATATCATGAGCTAAAAACGGAGCAATTACAAATCACTTCTTTCAGCTCTAAATCTACATTCTTATAAATGTCAAAATGAAAAGACCCGGGTCTTATAAAAAATACACCATTTAATTATACCCCCCAGCCTTTTTAGGGGTGATTATCATAATACCCTAGGGTCTTATATACGGGGGATTACGGTGCGTTGGTCGGTTCGGTCAGTATGCACGGTTGTAGAACTCTGAAATCTCCCAAATCATGTGGATCAAAAAGGTTAAAATATAGTGTTGTCAAAGTACAAGGCCTAGTCTAGTAGATTCGCAAGAAAATGGTACTAACTGTCTCTACAAACATGAGTAATGCGCTGGTCAGTCTGGTCGGTATGAGCGATTGTAATGCAGGTACTATGCACGTTTGACCCAACGACGGAAGAAAAACGCTCGGAACGAGCGTTTTCAGTCCCAAAACACGGAAGCATCCGCACATGTGCTGAAAATGCAGCATACATTTTTCATTCGCGAGTATCAACGACCGATCATACTTGCCACCCTCCCACGCTCTTGTGGCTTTGTAATAGGTCTTAACGAATACAGCCACGTGACTGAACGGAAAAAAACGCTCGAAACAAGCGTTTTCAACCCCAGAACATGAAAGTATCCGCATGTGTGCAGAAAATGCATAAGACATTTTTTCATCCGTAAGTATCAATGACCGATCATGTTTGCCACCATCCCATGCTATTGCGGCTTGGTAATAGGTCCAAACAGACACAACCACATGACCCAACGGAAGAAAAAACGCTCGCAATGAAGCCCATCGCTGGTCCACAAGGTTGTAAGCGAAAGGGCTCCGTACTCGCTTGGGCGAAGCCCACATAGTTGACCGTTGGGCATATAGTGCAGCCGGCTAGGCTTTATAGTTTGCACCATCTTGGAGGAAGTCGGCGATTTTGGTTAGCCGACTTTGGCGAAGCCTTTCAACGGAGCCCCATCAGTAGAGCCGACTTTGACGAAGCTGAGATCAGTGGAGCCAAATTCTATGAAGTCGACCACAACGCAGCCGACCACAGTGACATCGACCACGGCAATGCCGTCGAAGTATAGTCAGCGGACGACGTCAAGCCCGCAAGCCCTCGCATACCTAACTCTCTTTTAATAGCTTAATCTTTCTCTCTTGTTGTAAGATTAGGGAGTTATAACGCTTCTCCTCATCACGCATTATGTGCGTTGTTGATGTCGATCTGTTTGCGGGGACATCCAGGCTGGTATTGATGGGAAAGATCATACTGGGGCCGAACATTAGCAGGGAGGTGTCCAAATTAGGGCCGGATAGCCGAACCTGGAATTTTGGAGCTAATAACCGACCTTCCCATGATCGTGTATGTGATTTCACTTGTCAGAGGTTCTGACCACACCGCGCGTCGTAACTGATGGAGAGAAAACTTTACCCTTTATGTCGAAATAACTCAGTATTTTTCACTCGTTTGCGCTACCAGGCACTAAACGACGCTACCGGGAACTGTTAAGTCATGGCAGAATAATTAAAACCCCTAGGAAACATGGACGCATTTTGGGAGGGATCAACCCTGAACACGGGAACCCGCTTGAAGTTAAGGGTTGATGCCTTCCCGAGTCGCATCCATTTCCGATTGGGTTATATTTTTTGGTCAGGTAAAGTGTTGTAAATTCTTCGGAAAACAATCATGTACTTCTGTTCGAAAAAAAATAGACACGACAAAACCACCCATAGAGGAATACGACGCGGGCTTCGTAATAGGCTGCGATCTTAATATCAAATAGAAGATTGAACCAATGAAGTCGAGATTTTGTAATTTCCTCTAGATCTTGGTTTGGAACCTCAGCCCAGCCACCTGGGCAGCCTCGGCGGTATATTTGACGGTTGGGATGAACCCGGCGCTAACGACGTTGTTGCGACCCACCAGGGTCGAGTCGACCATCCCCCGATCCCGAATTTCTAGGAAGCCCGCACTGCCGACCTACCCGACCAGTTCGACCCGACCCAACCCAACCCGGGTCGGGTCGACCAGGCCGACCAAACCCAACCCAGCCGAGCTGGAGCAGGTTACCGGATTTTGCGAAATCTGTGGTTCTCGAGCAAATGTCGCTTGTATATAGTTTAACAAAAAGATACCCGGTAATATCGCCAAACATTGCCTCGCCCACCTTCCACCTGCGGAGCACTTGCTTTCTCTTTACTTCGAATTTGCAAAGAAGGCAACGGGAAATTCTTTAATTTCTCGAGTCGCCTTGGGGTTGGGTCGGGTAGGGTCAACCCTGGTCGACCAGGTCGACCCGACCCGACCCGGGTGGGTCGCAACACGTCGTAATTTGGTCGCTTCCCTGTTAAAGCCAGGGTCTCAAGTAAGCAAAGCAGCCATCAACTGCAAAGCACTCGTAGGCAGGCGAAGGTAGGTTACCTCGTTAGTGCAGGCGAATTTCTCTTTGGTTGGTTGGAAACCTATTCCCGTCAGTGTCTCAAAAGCAATTGCACAACAAGTTTTGAGTACGTGAGACTTTCGACGAGTTTGGGGCATTTTAGGTTTGGATCCGAACCGATTCTCCAAACCTAGGAGGTTCGGCTACACCTAGCGATTTGGATTCGTTTCGTACCCCTCGCTTCACCCCTCTTCAAACTTCACAACTCGTTAGCCAATCACAAACAAACTTGCACTGTCAACTGCAAAGCACTCGTAGTACGTGAGACCCTGGCTTTAATGTTCGGCCCCTGTTTGATCTTTTCCCGGTATTGATGCCCCTGCTGACGTCATTGCCAAGCGCAAGGCAGATGTGAAGTGCTATTGCTGCGATGTTGCTTCGCTGGCTAAATCGAGGAATATTCCCACAAAAGATGCCTTTTTGGGCAAGATGCCATTTTCGGTCGTGCCCGAAGCACGACCTCCTCGTGTGCTATTCGCCCGGGCAGCAATGAATGCTATTCTTTCCAGGATCTGGGACAAACAGCTGCTTATCTGGCGCGTCGCATCTTTAAATATAGCCTACCTGTCTTGCCACGGATGTATTATGTCAAACAAGCCCGTGCCGCACATTCCACCGCGACGAGGCAAGAATGAAGTCGGCCCGCCCGCTCCCCCCCTCTTTCCCCCTGATCCCCTCTTGATGCGCTACCTAAACTGATCCACCAGCACAGCACCACCCTGGTTTGCTAGGGAACTAGATTCCACTTGAAGACCCGTTGCTGTTGGAAACCCCAGCCGACTCGAGCAACGGTGACGTCTTGCACGGCTCGCTTGAAGGCCGCCATAGCATCAGCCAATGCCATGTCAATGAGGCCGTTCCAAAAAGCTTGGCGGCCCCAGGTTGTTGTGGTTTCTAGGAGGCGTCGCACAGGCATCGGGAGCTGTAGCGACTTGCGATGGGTGAGATGCGATTGCGATTGCGATCAGCCGAAATTAATTGATGTACAGGAAGATTTCGGCAGAGCGGAGTCCATTTGCAGGCTCATCAATTTTCTCCTCCTCACGGCACGATAGCGCATCCCATAGTAGACATGCTGATGCCATACTACGGATGATCGAATTATCTGCATATTCATCCACCCGTGTCTACTCCCCGCGCACTGCCTCGTGTGAGAACGTTCGAACCGCAAACGACATCCATGCGAGTTTAGGCAGCTATTTCAGACGCCATGAGGACACAGCGCAGCCAGTCGAGTAGCACTTCTCGTGGTAGCCACTCGGGTAACGGCCACTCTGGTAGCGGTCACTTTAGTAGCAACCCGAAGTCGAAGCCCCGCTTGGTTGGTCGGTACGAGCTGGGATGCACTCTAGGCCAGGGCAGCTTCGCTAAAGTGAAACTCGCTAGAGACGTGAAGACGCTGCAGCAAGTGGCGATCAAGGTGATGGAGAAGGAGAAGATTCTCCAGCGCAACATGGCTGACCAGGTACACTCTCCCGCTCAGGAACCAGGGCCCTTGGAATTCCCGCGTTTCGCCGACTGCTGGCATCCGCCATCGCCTGCAGACGCGCTTGGAAACCGTGTCAAGAGAGCTGTTTCTGTGAATTTTGCTCTCGGGTCGTAGAACGTAATCCTCCCCCCTCCTCCTCTCCCCGAGCACAATCTCCTTGCACCGCCACCCGACTAATGACGTTCTTTCCATGCTGCGCGCTCCTGAATGGGTTGTTGGCGCAGATAAAGCGCGAGATTGCGGTGATGAAGATGGTGCGCCACCCGCACGTCGTGCGCCTCATCGAGGTGCGCCTCCTCCGCGCCTCCTCCGGGCTGCTTTCCCCCCATTCCCCTCCGCTGCCTCATTCTCATCAAATTCACAGCCCGCGTCCCCATTCTCGTGTTCATCCATCTCTGCAGCCCCCCTTCACCTTCGCTCCATCGCCCTCCGTCAAATGCGACCCTCGTTTCCTCGTGTTCGTCGCTCATCGTCGTCCTGTCGTCGTCGCATGTGTCGCATGATCCCGCACGGCAGGTGATGGCGTCGCAGAGCAAGATCTACATGGTGCTCGAACTCGCCGCCGGCGGGCAGCTCTTCGACCGCATCGTGAGTCCAACGCGCCGTGCTCAACTCCGGATGGTCACGTAGCTTCGGTTGAAGCTGCTTGTGCTGATGGCCGCCCACCTTTACGCGCTGAATTCTCCCTTATCTGTCTTCCTGCACTACGTCCACTTTCTCCTCCTCTTTCTCCTCTTTCTCTTTCTCCTCGTTCTTCTCTTCTTTCTCCTCCTCTTTCTCCTCTTCTGTTTCCGCCTCTATCTCCTCTTTCTTCTCTTTCCCCTCCTCTTTCTCCTCCTCTTTCCCCTCCTCTTTCCCCTCCTCCTCCTCCTCCTCCTCCTCCTCCTTCTCCTCCTCCTCCTCCTCCTCCTCCTCCTCCTCCTCCTCCTCCTCCTCCTCCTCCTCCTCCTCCTCCTCCTCCTCCTCCTCCTCCTCCTCCTCCTCCTCCTCCTCCTCCTCCTCCTCCCCCCCCTCCCCCCCTCCCCCCCCTCCCCCCCCTTCCTCCTCCTCCTCCTCCTCCTCCTCCTCCTCCTCCTCCTCCTCCTCCTCCTCCTCCTCCTCCTCCTCCTCCTCCTCCTCCTCCTCCTCCTCCTCCTCCTCCTCCTCCTCCTCCTCCTCCTCCTCCTCCTCCTCCTCCTCCTCCTCCTCTCCCTACCCACGTCCACGTTCTTCTCTCCTCCTGCAACCTCACCTCCCTCGTCGTCTCACGCCTCTCATCCCGCTGCCAACCCCCTCTTGCCCTCATTGCGCTGCTCCTTCTCAGGTGCACCGCGGGCGGCTGGCGGAGAGCGAGGCGAGGCGATATTTCCAGCAGCTCGTCGACGCCGTCGACTGCTGCCACGCCAAGGGCGTCTGCCACCGCGACCTCAAGGTAACTTTCCCCCCATTTATTTCTGTCTCCTTTTTTTTTCTGCGGTCTTTGTGTTTTCCAGTGCTCCTATCTCTGCGCCGATTGCCACTTGCACTGCACTATCTCACCTCTCATTCTCCTGCTCCCTCTCATCCCACCCGGGGTATGGCGTGGCTATGTCATGGCACGGGCATCAGCCGGAGAACATGTTGTTAGACGAGCGCGGCAATCTCAAGGTGTCTGACTTCGGCCTCAGCGCCCTGCCGCAGCAGCAGCACCGCGACGGGCTGCTGCACACCACCTGCGGCACGCCCAACTACGTCGCTCCTGAGGTCCGCCCCTCTGCCGCTCTGCCCCTCTGCCCCATTGCTCCACTACCTCACTATTTCACTACCCATTAGTTCCCTTCATCCTCCCCGTGAGCCTCCTCAGGCGTCCTGTGCTCTGCTCGCTACCACGCTTACCTCTCCACGTGTATCGCAACCGCACCTGCTCATAAGCTGCCCTGCAGCGTTGCTCGTCCGCTGCTCTCCCGCTCATCCGCTGCTTTCCTGCTCATCCTCTCCTCTCCCGCTCCTTCCCACCAGGTGCTGTGCGAGAACGGGTACGACGGGCGCAAGGCGGACGTGTGGTCGTGCGGGGTGATTCTGTTTGTGCTGCTGGCGGGGTACGCGCCCTTCCAGGACAGCGACCTGCGCCCGCTCTACCGCAAGATCCGCCACGCGCTCTTCTCCTTCCCCGCCTGTGTCTCGCCCTCCGCGCGTTCCCTCATCTCCGCCATCCTGCAGCCCGACCCCGCCAAGGTGCGCCACATGCGCCCGTGGAATATTGTGCGGGAAATTTGTTCATTAATAAAAAATTGATTCTGATTCCAGTACTAAATCTGCTGGTGCTTTCCTACCTGCTCGGATTCTTCTGGTGCTATGAAGGTTGCCATGACTTGTGCTCACTCACTCACTCACTTTCTTCTCCTTCGGCCTGTCCCCAATCCTTTCCGCAACCAGCGGCTGACAATGGAGGGAATACGGCAGCACGTGTGGTTCAAGCCGGGCTACATCCCAGCACAGCCCAGCCCGGAGGTCCCTGTGCACACATGCGACATGGACAGCGTCTTCTCCCAACATCACCGGCTAGGCCTCGCCGCGCCCACCACACAACTGCTCTCACCACTACCCCTCTCAAACTTACCGGCGTCGCTGCCAGCGCCGCCACCCTCCCAGTGTGGGGCGGACCTTCGCATCACGGCTGTGGAGTCGCTGCCGCGCTCCGCGTCTCCGCCCCTCCCTTCTCCCTCCTCTGACGCCAGCACTGCCCCCTCCTCCTCCGCGCTCTCCGCTGGTCCCTGCCGCTCTCTGCGCTCGCCGCGTGCTCTCGGCTGCTCCATCAGTCGCGATAGCAACAGCAGCAGCGATAGCAACAGCGGCAGCGGCAGCGGTAATGACGGCACGTCGTTAATCAGCCCTTGCTCTGCTGCTCCCTCTGCTGCTGCTGCAGCTGACTACCCTCTTCCCACTCTCCCCTCCCCTTCCTGCTCCTCCTGCAGACTTAACGCTTGTGGGAGCGATGGGAAAAGAGGGGCCAGGTGTGATGGGTATGGGAGTGAGGGGGGCGAAGGGGAGAGGGCAGAAGGCAGAGGAATGAAGGAGGGAGGGGCGGGAGCAGCGGCGGAGCAGGAGAGACTCCAGAGCTGATGAACGCGTTTGACCTGATAGCGCGCGCGCATGCGCTGGACTTGGGCGCCCTTTTCCACCGCCGCGCCGACCCTGTTTTGCGCCAAACCCGCTTCGCCTCGCGCCTGCCGCCCGCCCTCATCCGCTCTCGCCTCCTCGCGCTCGCACCCGCCCTGCACGCTGACGCGCATGCTAAGCTTTTCAAAATTAGATTCTCCCGGCGTGCAACGAAGAATGGACAAGAGCTGGCCGTGGTGATCCAGGTAATGTCCGACCGCCGCACACATGCAGTGCAGGCCATTTCTCATGCACCCCTTGCACCATGTCTCATTCATGTATGCGTTGCTCGCACACTCTTTGCTGCGAGCAGGGCTCAAAGCTTCAACCGCTCAGTTGTTGTCCCGCTGCAAAGTCGATTTCGCCTTAGGCTCAGGCTCCCACTGTGACAACCCGGCAGTGCTGCAATCACACCATTCCGCACTGCGCCTTACCCGTGCCCTCTGTGGTTGTGTATGTGCGCTCATGGTGCAGTACAGATATTTGTGAGGTCGGCGTGGGTGTTGCAACTTAACCATGCATCCCTCCTCCATGGTTGTGTGTGTGCACTCATGTCATGGTGCGGTGCAGATATTTGAGATGACAGCGGGAGTGTTCATGGTGGAAGCACGCAAGGCTGCTGGCGACACGCTCGAGTACCACAAGGTCAGCACAGCAGCCCACTGTCCCTTCTTTCCCTCCCCCCCTTCTCCCAATCCTACTTTTTGCCCTCCCTCCCCCCTGGTTGCCTCCGTGCACCTTTCTTTTATTTCTTTCCTTTTTTCCCCCCCCCGCGCTCCTCCCCACACTACGTGTCACTCGCCCTGTCCCTGCTGCCTCCCACCCCACCAGTTCTACCGTGCGCTGCTGGCACGGGTCTCAGACATGGTGTGCCATGACACCACATACATCGCCCCATCCCTCGCTCCTGCTCCTCTCGCTCCTGCAACCCTCCCAACCTCGCCTCCCGACACTGCCACCTGCCCCTCTGCGCCATCGCCTGGCATATCTGGCAAGCCAGGAGTGGTGCAGGAGGCAAAGCCCGGCGTCGCAAGGGACGAAGTAGAACAGCTGATGGAGCCGCAGCAGGCTGAGTCACCCCATAGGCGACCGTCTCTGGACGAGGGCCGGATTGCTCCCATGCAGGCGCATGGCAGCGTTGATGGTGAGAGAGGCAGGCGGAGATCCATGGATGAGACCCGCCTGCCAGTTGCAGATGTGGCAGCGGGAGAGGCAACAAGGAGAGATGAGGCGTTGAGATCTCCTGCCAAGGCCAGGTCATTGGATTTCTGGCCTGGATCGCTGATGTCATCGGTGCTGCAGTCGCCCCTCTTCAAGGCCCGCTCTGCATCTCCCTCCAGCCCCTCATGCAACTCTCCGGGCAACGACCCTCCTGCCCTGAGCCTGGCACAGCTGCACAGCTTCTCCTGTTCCTGCTCTGGCCCCATGTGCCACTGTCGGGCCGCAGTGAGCTGCAGTGCAGACAGGAGTGGAGGTGGTGATGGCAGGGGTGAGGGGTGTGGTGAGACGGAGGCAGTGCACATGCAGCAGGTGATGTGAATACTGGTGGATCAGCTGCAACTGGATCCGCAGCACAGACTCTGCTGGTTCATACGATTCTATTCTTTGGTTTATCTCATGTCTCGTATTATATTATTATTCAAATGCATTTTGCACATCCAAGTTCTCTGTAAGTCGTATTGTTGAAACAAGGTGAGGGCGTGGAACATGCCTGGGACAGGACGGTCAGCGCTTTGAACCATTACCCGTACTGCAATTCAGCAGTACAAGAACGCACTGTGTACACCTTTTCTAGAGCCACTAACCTCCCCAGTTTTCTTGGTAAGGCATCTACTAACTGTATGAATGCACTAATCCGTCCACCTTTTTAGCTCACTGATCCTTGTTGAAACCGTTTACAACGTGGGTTTGTTTGGTGAGGGTCATTGAGCACTGATGGGGGTTTCATTTCAGGTTGGTTGGACTGAAGAGTTCTGTTTGTCGAGGCTCGACGCCTCGCAACACTGTCAACTTGTTGGTTGGTCTGTCAAGCTACTGGGTGTGGGCATCCTTCCTCTCCAGTCGAACTCTCATGGCTGACCGAAATTCGGAATGTCCATTTCCGTGTTTGCGCCGCAGGTTTATATGTTTGATAAGCAATATGAAACCCTGGTTTGCATACATAAAATGGTGGTATTCTTTGGGCTGGAAAACTGTAATTGAACTTGTTTTTTTTTTTTAATCGTGACGGACGCAGCGCGAATAGATCGAGATCACAGCAAAGGCCAGCAACAACAGACAGCCAGGCCAAAGAGACGATGCGAGGATGGGATGGGAAAGAAACCGTCAACGTGTGGAAAATTTTCGATGCTTTTTCAGCAGGTCTGCTTGAGATTCTGCTCTACACTAGCTACGTCCCGGAAACAATCTCACCAGAATCAGCGACAAACGTTGTTGTATCTGCCCGACTGCTCCGCTGATCTTCCGCCGATGACATTCGTCACGCCGATGGCCCATGGGGGAGACAACCGTACGGTTGGGCTGTGATTCGTGGCGAGCACCAGCCCTTGCGGAGGTGCTTCTTGTTGGTTCTGCTGGAGCCATGCCATGCCGCATGCGCTAGACAGAGTGGTGGGTGGAGGGGGAAATTTGCGGAGCTGGACATCGGCTTGCGGCTTGGGGTGCGTTGACTCGGCTCGTCGTTCTTTTCGCGTGCGGGCGGATGGAGCGCGAAAGCCAAGCAAACCGCTCCAATCTTCCAGGGTCGAGTGCGGTACGTTTATTAAACTGTGGTGAAAAACGGTGTTCAGCGAGGTTCTTCCGAAACTCACGCGGCGGGGTGCCTAGCCGCTGATCTTAGCGCAGCCACTCGAGATGGCCCTGGGGTTGAGCGCAACAACAGCCAGCGGATCCCTTTCCCCCTGTCCATTTTCGGTGCATGTTTCCGCCTCGATTGCCCCTCCATCTTTGCTGGCGCGGTGGCCATGGGGGCAGCTCAAACAGCGGAGTTACAGCCCCATCATTCCATCTCTACGCCATCCCACCCCCATTCCAGTCCCAAGTGAAAAGCCCCCAGCGAAAGCCTTCTCCGCTTGTTACACTGCCTCCAACCCTCTGGCTGTTCTTGTCCTTCTCCTCAGACTTCACATAGTGTAGGTTGTTCCTCGCCTCTGTCCCAGCTGCTCCTGTAGCCTATACGTGTATTGCAGAAGGGCGAGCTCGAAGCGTCGTGCGCAACAAATGCGTCATCCGCTCATAGGAGCATCGCATTCCTCTCTCACATTCGAAGCGGCCTCATTGCTGGTTCCGTCGAAATTCCTTGAGACCGCCTCCGTTAGACATAATCACATTCGGCTATAATAGTAATAGTACTATAGGAAACGCCAGCCGTAGCCAAACTCGATAAAGCATTCGTTTTAATCACATTATAGATCGTGTGCACCTCACGGCAGGAGCGTGCACCACATTCCGCCGACCGCTGCATGGGGAGCGACGGCTCCGCCGAACCGACATCCCGCCACATTCCCCCCTGCGAACCCGACCAGCTACGCGCTATTTCTTCCGCCCCTTCCGCCTCCTCCGCCATGGCTTCCGCCCACACTGCCTGCCCGCGGCCCGCGCCCGGCGACGATCGAGCGGCCGCGCGCGTCAACTCCGCCGGATCGCCCGGCGGCAGTCGCAGCCCGTCGTGGAAGCTCAAGGGGAACATCTTAAGTAAGGCGCTGCGGAGTTTGCAGGGCCGCGGGAAGCAGAAACCGCAATCGACGCTCGCCGTCGAGAGCGACTCGATGGAATCCAACGGTCAACAATGCAGCCGCAGCGAGCGGATGGACGAGTCGCAGCTAGCGGCGCTGCCGCGGCCGCAGCTCGCGCGGTCGCTGTCGCACGGGAGTCGCGATAAGACGCGCCTCGGCTTGCCGCCGCAGCAGCAGGCCAGCGTGCCGGCGAGCCCCTTCCACCTCGACAGCGGCGCGGTCAGCCCGGTTTTAGGGCCGACAGCATCGGCGCCGACCCCGCTGAGTCCCACGCCGCATCTAACGGGGACGCATCTGATGGATATGGATATGCCGATGCTGGCGCAAGTGGCGCTCGTGCACTCGCTGCTGCAGCAACCCGCGGACTTGTCCGCGAGCTCGGGCAACGAAGCGTCGCCGTCGAGGCGGGCGGGGGAGGAGGCGGCAGGGTGCGCCGCTCCAGGGGAATGGCCGCCTAGCGGTTGGCCACAGGCGGACGGCGGCGGAAGTGGCGCGCATGGCGGAAGCGGACGGCGGAGCAATGCGGCAGCGGGCGAAGGATCTTCGGTAAGAAAGGCAGGGAGTGTGCTTGTGCGCGCATGCATTCTCCTCGTGGGTGCCGTTCTGCTCATCACCCTCAGCGCGTTATACTTCCCCCGATCTCCTTCCCTCTCTTCCGCCCTCCACCCTCTCCGATCCCCCCTTCCCCAACCTTAACAGCAGCCGCGGTCCATCCCGCCCATTCCCACCCCTCCCGCGCCCCTCTCTCCGCTCAACATGCCCCTGGCGGGCGCGCCGCCTCCCCCACGGGAGTCCCGCTCCGCCCACCGCAGCAGATCGCGGGAGAAGGCGCGGGGGCACGGGGGGCACGGCGCGCACGGGGGGAGGCAGAGCCAGCGCAGCATGAGTCACGACGAGGGGCAGCTGAACGGGTGGGCGGGGGAAGAGGGGAGGGAAGGGGGGGAGGACGAGGAGGAGGATGAGGAGGAGGGGGAGTGGGGGGAGGCGGAGGAGCAGCTGCGCGAGAAGCTGGCGCGCATCGAGGAGAAGCTGGCGCGGCTGCGCGCGAAGCGGCAGCAGTACGTGGCGCGGCTGCAGCGCGTGCAGGCCAAGAAGGAGAAGGTCGCCGGGCCCATCCAACAATGGCTCCGCCCCCCCCCGCGCCTCCAGCAGTAGGCGCGGGGGGGGGTGGGGGAGGAGACGGGGGGACGCGGGAAGGATGAAAGGGGAAGGGGGTGGGAAGACGCGGCTGCAGCGCGTGCAGGCGAAGAAGGAGAAGGTCGCGGGACCCATCCAACAGTGGCTCCGCCCCCCCCGGCGCCTCCAGCAATAGGCGCGGGGGAGAGGGGGAGCGGGGAGGGGGAGCGGGGAGGGGGAAGGGCGAGAGAGGAGGAAAGGGGAGAGGGGAGGAGGAAGGGTAAAAGGGGAGGGGGAGGGGAGAAGGAGGGAAAGGAAGGAGCAGGGGTGAGGTGAGGATGCGGTGCAACAGCGGGAGGGAGCTGGGCATTGATAGGGCTGAATCCTGCAGCAGAGGGGGGCTGTCCTCTCCCCTCTGTGGTGCTGCTGCCGGTGCATTGCCTCCCAGTGCACTCGTGTCTCCTGGCAAGGCAACTCCCCTCTGCCCCTCTGCACGCTCCTCTGCTCAACTGCTGCCACCCCTCCTTGGTGAAGTGCTGCTGCTGGGAAGGCACCCCAGTGTGGCAGAGGGAAATACTCAATGCAGCTTCAACAGAACTGGGGGGTGCATGTGCAGTGCAGATTACGGGGGCTATCACTCATTAGCCCTGCCCTGCACCCTGCCTGCCTGATGCTCTCTGCACCGTGCACCATCCCTTCCCTCGTGTGCTGCCAGTGCTCTGGGCCGTGCCGAGCAGTTTCTTACCTCTGTACCATATGAGTGTGTTCATCTAGCATAGCAATGCAGTGCTAGTCCAGTATGTTCCTGCAGAACTGCAAAATTATACGGTAATAAGCACATATTCATTCTTGATTACACCACAAGACCACAAACATCCATGGCACAGCCACATTGCTACAATAATTTGAGGGTCCTCCTTGCAGTGAGTCAGCCGGCCATGTTATGTTCGATGGCCATCACGACGTCCCCCATGCCGCCACCCGCCTTGAGCACCTCCACCACTGCACTGTGTGCCGCTCGGTTGCGCTGCAGCAGCAGATACGCCTGCACCACCGCCCACCGCGCCTGGTTCGCCATCTGTGCGGGAGAGAGGGGAGAGGAGGGCGACAGCAGGGCGTCGATGGGCAGATGAGGCTGCGGCAGCGCAGTAGACGGCTGAGGGGAGCACGAGCATGTGCCGTACCTGAATGCACTGCACTGGCACACAGCAACACGGGGTGGCGGCAGTGGCAGCAGGGGCAAGCACGCGCGCACCTGGGGGCCGGACCAGGAGGGCTGGAGGTTGGAGAGGAAGGCCTTGAAGAGATTCTCATCGCCCTCCCCGCCCTCCGCCTGCCCGTACTGCACCGCCTCCGCTGCCACCCCGGCGAACAGCACTATGCTGTACCTGCAGTGGGCGATGAATGAATATTGCTGGCGGCACAGGGAGTTCAGGATGAAGATTGCTGGCGACAAAGGGAGTCCAGGATGAAGCTTGCCGATGAAAATACTGACGATTTGCTGGACGATTTGCTGTGTGCTGTGCGGCAAAGCGGACAGCAGTGAAGAGGAGGTCACTGAGGCGGTTCACAAAGCGCATCACAGTGAGGTCTATGCGCGGGAGACGCGCCTCTGAGTCTGGTGTACTGCCCTCCAATGCCTCTTGTGCTGCCTCCTGCTGCTGCTGCTGCTGCTGCTGCTGCTGCTGCTCCTGCTGCCACGGCGATGACAGCGCGCTCTGCCCGCCTGCAGACGGACCGTGCCGCTGCCATGCCACCTGGGAGCAGCTTGCACAGGGGATGGAAGAGTGAGGAGCAAGTGAGAATAGCAGCGGTGGCACTGGGAGGTGACACGACAGTGGGGCGTGCGTGCATCACAGGGCCTCACACACAGATGCACAAAGGTCAAAGGCACAGTGCAACACGCTCCTCCTGCCAAATATGGTATCCCTTCCCCTCACTCCCTTTCCCTCCTCTCGCTTCTCTCCCCTCCCCGCCCCCCTCCTCCCCTGCCCTTGAGCAGCAAGCAAAGAGCCACGAGGCACGTGGCGGCGAGCACGGGGCAGGAGGGGGCACCTGAGGGGAGGATGAAGGCGGTGAGCGGCGGCAGCTTCTCGTCCAGCGCGTCGATCCAGAGCTCCCGCGTGTCCACCGCCGTCGGATCGAACCGCACGCGCTGCAGCTTCGCGGCAGATGCGGACGGCGGCGGCGTGGCGACGGCCGGGCCCACGTCGAGCAGCCGCGACTGGATGACCGCGATCTAAGGACGTGGATCGGGGTGGGGGCGCGGGGGAAAGACGGGAGGGAAGGGTTGAGAGGGATTGAATGATACTAGGACGAGAGACGAGAACGGAGGACATACGGAGTAATTGGGAGGAGAGCGGGATGGGGATCTGAAGGGAGGGAACGAAAAGATGCGGGCGTGGCATGTCAAATCCCGGTATCACTTTCCTGACCTCAATTTCTAAAACAAAGCCTTACTCATGTAGGAATTCGGCGCGACAGGGTTCTTTCTTAACATGCTGCGTGTGCAATGCGACATGCGACACAAGTGCGCTTACGTCGCACGCGTCGCAGCGCGTACCTGGTCGCAGAGCTCCTTGAGTCCTTGCACGCGGCAGTACTCCGCGGCCACGGCCAGCGCGCGGTTCAGCTCGACCACGTCACGCAGCGCGCCGAACACGCAGTCATCCTTGCGCCGCCGCTCGCCCGTGTACAGCGACGACGTGCCCTTGTCGCCCGTCCGCGTGTACACGCGCGCGCGGTGCCGCTTCTCCGCGGGTTTCACGCCGCCGGAACCCTCGCCGCCGCCGCCGCTGCCGCCGGTAGACTCTGCAGCAGCAGCCGCAGGAGCGGATTTAGGACCCGATGCGGGGCAAGTGCCTTATTGCAGCGGAAGTGTGGAGTGGAAATTCTCCGACGCGACTGCGAGGGCTTTTCCCGCTGTTGACGTCAGCACGGGGGCGTCGCACGCGCGATTGGCGAACGCCAGCGACGGCGAGGGAGGGTCAGCGTGGGGGGCGGCGAGGACCTCCATGGCTCGAACGGATGCGATTCGAGCAGCACTTGCAGACGCGGTCACTGACGGCAGCAGGAATTCTCCGGCACGATTGACGGAGAAGGGCAAGGGGTCAGGGGATGCTAGGCGTTGTGAGGTACGAGAAGCGTCGGCAAGGGTTGTGTAGGAAGCGGAGGCGATGAGTGGTGAGACGATTGGCGAGGGTGAGGGAAATGAGAGCTGCTCGACGGTGTGGATGCGACGATATGCTCCCCTCGCTACTCGAGCGACGCAGCTGGTGAACGGAGATCGCATACTCCGGCAGTCGAGCGGATAAGCCAAGAGAATCTCGTTCACAGCCGATGAAAACGCGGAAAGCGAGGGACCGTCCGTTGCAGATAAGGATTACCACCACGCACTGAGGCTCCTCTCCACAGCGCGCGGCACGCGAGCGAGCTCGTGTGATAAGGAAAGCTCCTCCTAGGGAGAGCACGTGAGGGGAAAATGAGAGAATGGAGGAGTGGTGGAGTGAAGTGAAGAGGAGTGGAAGGAAGTACATTCGCTGAACCGAAAAGGCAACCGTCGCAGAGGTTGGGTGTGATTCGCATGGTTTTCCGAAGTCGCACAGAGATTCGTGTGGCGGCGGAGCCAAGGGTATGGGCAGCTGGACGACGTCGTACGACTTTCGGCAGGCAGTTTTTTCGCAAGTAATCCAAGTCAGGGTGACAGGCAGGAGAGGTGGTTCGGTACTTGAAAAGGCGGGATGAGGTGGCTCGGACGCTGGTTCGGAGACCCGCGTGCCGACGTGTTCACATCACATAGGCAGCATTCATTCATTCACCCCGCTCTTTGGGGCCTGCGTGCCGATGTGTTCACATCAGAAATGCAGCAATCATTCATTTACTCCGACCAAGTTTCCCTCGTTCGTAAAGGCAAGGATGAACAGACTCGCCCTTTTTCGAGTTAGAAATGAAGCACTCAGGAACGCGGATAATTCCAACCATGCACAATATACCCGTGATGTGACCCTGTGAGACTGACTTCGCAGGAAACTGCGAACAAGCTAAAATCATCCGAACCGTGTTCAACCATATTTAACCTTCACACATCCGACATCCTCCCGTGTTACCCCTCCACCAAGCCTGCACATTCACAGAATGACGAATTTCCTTACCGATGCCACACCTTTCGCAACCCACGTCGCCACTCAACGGGACCTCGGGAATTACAACAAGGGTTGGCGAAACCCAGTTACATGTGAGCTCGCCACATCGCGAAACCATGACCGTAGCTTCTCCTTCTGGCAGATGATGATTTTACACCCCCTCCGCCGCTCCTCTCTATCGCTGCTTGTGTCAGACCCAAACAGATCTTCAGTTCCCTCCCATCTCTTCCACCAGCCGCGTACCAACCATTATAGCGGCTCAATTCTGCAGCACGCTTCGGGAAACGGATCGCGGCGGAAGTATTACAGTACACGTCACTAGATTTCTGAATCTTGTGTTTCCATCCAACCGTGTTGTTTTCCGGGCCGTTGAAACAGCATACCTGTCCCAGATTGAGGATATAGAATTTTGTTGCACATTAGGCGGTCCAATCGGACGCTAGGGTAGATTTGGCGGTCCAATTAAACGCTAGGGTACATTTGGCGGTCCAATCAGAGCTGGGTTCATCTTCTTGTCGGCGATTTTTTCTGATCCATCCACCATTCGCCACGGTGGCACTTTTGGGACCACCATAGAATCCAGCAAGACGGATTTCCAACCGTTCATTTGTTTTCACCGAGTAGCTCATTCCAACGGTCCGTAGTCAGGCATTCCACGCATCTTCAGGCTCACGTCATATTCCGACTCTTCTTGTATTTTCAGTTTATTTCTGCAGCCTTTTCATTTTGCTAGTGAGCTTGGCTTCCGATCGCTTTACCAGCTCGAATTATCGCCATCTTCTCACGTCGACACCATTCAGACTGCTCGCGGACCGTCGAAGTATCTGCAACGTAGCGAGTCGACTTCGCTTGTCGTCGTTTTTACGGCAGGTACAACGACCGTCCTTATCACATTCTTGTATCACCGACCTAATTCCGTTAATGTATACATTCCAGTTTATTTTGACTCCGATTCTGACAATGGCGCTCGTTGTTCTATCATGCGCAGGACGCCATGGTAAGCATCGGATCGTCGTGGATCCCCATCTCTTCATCAGAGCAACGCACTGCTAATCTCCAAGGCGGGGTGAACGTACCTGCCAACAGCACCTGGCAGGTGCCTCCTCTTTCTCCACCAGCAGTAAGTTTCCTTTTCACCCCTCTTCGTTTGAGTCACTTGCTGCATGTTGTCCGTTTTCCTTCATTGACTTGGTTTACTAACTTATTATTCTTGGCTTACTTGGCAGGTTTGCTGCACAAAGGGACTTCAGCAAGCCCAAGAATCAGGATCCATGGGAGCACCATGGCCTGCTGAGGCACCTTAAGGCTCAAGCTTGGCAAGAAGATAAGTTCCAACTTCAGCCTTTTCCCTTGCATTCTCCTTGACTTTTTTTGTTCTTTTTTATTCAACTTGTGCTTCAAATCTCCAGTCACTGACTTATTTCATTTCGCCTCATGTCAGGTTCTCCAAGCGCCATCTATACGCCATGGACCCCCAAGATTTTGTACACCGCTGCACACTCCAACAAGCCCAAGATCCATGGGAGCACCATGACCTGCTGAAGCAGCTCAACGCTCAAGCACCGCTTCACCCTCCAAGCTCCTCAACCTTAGATAAGTTTCAGCCCCTACCTTCGAGCTCCTTTTCTCACATGGCTTTAGTGTGTTTGTTGAATTTCTTTGATCCATGCTGTTTTTTTGCCTTATCTTATTTACCATGGACTAAACTTTGTCTTTCTTCTGCCTGCAGGTGTCTTCATGGGCGGCAAGTCCCAGTGGGTGGCAAGCCATGCCCTGCTGAAGCGTCTCAACGCTCAAGCACTGCTCCACACTCCAAGCTCCTAACCCACAGATAAGTTTCAGCCCCTACCTTCGAGCTCCTTTTCTCATGCTCATGGCTTGATTGTGTTTGTTAATTCACTTTGATGCATGCTGTTTTTCTGCCTTCTCTTTTTGGCCACGTACTAATATTCTTCTTTCTTCTGCCTGCAGGTGCCTTCATGGGTAGCAAGTCATGTGGCCAGTGCACGAGACGGGGTGAAGCTTTGAGCATTGGCTGGGGACTCGATTCCGGGCCAAACCGGACTGGTTCTGTTCCCTCCCGCCCCCACCAAGTGACAAAGCTGTCTGGCCAGCAGTGGTGGAGGTGGGGGTGAGCAGAGCCAGTCCCTAGTAGGGCACCCGCACGTCTTGGTCCTGGCAATGCTCAAGGCTCAGCCTACCTCTCTGCCTGTGCAGTGCACTGCCAGTCCATGCCGGGGTGGGCATGGTTGGCATGGCATGCTGACATGGAGTAGCTGTGGACCTGTGGTTGATATGATTAGACAGAATTATACATTGGTTGAGTGTACCTTAGAGTAATATTTGATTGTTATACAGAATGCACACTAGTGTACCAGTACTACTCTGTGTAGGGCCTAGAATGTCTCGCCTTCTGAGAAATGTCTGGACAAAGTAATGTAAATGCACAGGTGCTTGTTCATGTGCTTTTCTGGCCTGGAAATTCATCTTCTGCAGATTAGCTATCCAGATTCAATCATCACAAGTGAAAGCCATCATCACATGAACAAACCAGACCTGTTGCACAGGAGTTTAGATACAGTAGAACGGTAATAAACGCATTGCTTGTTACACCACAAGACCACAAATATTCACAAATTTGACACCTTGCTACAACAATCTCAGCGCCCTCCTTCCAGTGAGTCAGCCGGCCATGTTTTGTTCTATGGCCATCACCACGTCCCCCATGCCGCCACCCTCTTTCAGTACCTCCACCACTGCCCTGTGTGCCGCCCGGTTGCGCTGCAGCAGCAGGTACGCCTGCAGCACCGCCCACCGCGCCTGGTTCGCCATCTGTGCGGGAGTTTGAAAAGGTGGGGGGGAGGGGTTTGCGAAAAGGAGGGCGAGACGAGAGCAGGGCGTTGATGGGCAGATGATGCAGTGGCAGCACAGCAGAGAGGTGAGGCAAGCTCGAGCATATACCTGAATGTACGCACAGGCACACAGCATCACAGGGTGGAAACAAGGGCAGCAGGGGCAGCAGGGGCACACGTGCATGCACACCTGGGGCCCGGACCAGGAGGGCTGGAGGTTGGAGAGGAAGGCCTTGAAGAGATTCTCATCGCCCTCCCCGCCCTCCGCCTGCCCGTACTGCACCGCCTCCGCTGCCACCCCGGCGAACAGCACTATGCTGTACCTGCAGTGGGGGAGATGGGTGCAGAGAGAAGACAGTGGTGGGAGAGGCACAGAAAGGAGAGGTTTTGAAAAGAGAGGCTTGGAAAGAGGAGTTTGGAATGAAAGGATTCGGAGAGAAAAGAGCAGGTGAAGAAAGTGAGGGGCGGAGGGAGGGAAGAAGCGAGGAGTGAAGGGAGCAGGGAGACGGGATAGGAGAAGCAGTGCAAAGACCCATAGGTCACGTACCGGTCAACAGAGGCCGACGAGAGCTGGCCTGCACGCAGCTCGTCCTCTAGTCGCTCGTCCCAGAACTGCGTGCCCGCCTGCCCGTGCACCCCCATGCGCATGGCCTCGAATGCGTCCAGCACCACCCCCCGCACCGGACACCCCAGCAGATACGCTGGTGGAGGGGGTGCGTGGGGTGGGTTTGGGGTGGGGTGGGGTTGAGGGGAGTGGGGGAGTGTGAGGGAGAGGAGTGCGGCACGAGGAATTTGATAATGGGAGGCGGCAACAAAGGAGAATCCAGTCCATGCCTCCCTCCCACGCCCCGTGTCACCCCACCACACCCACCACACCCACCCACCCACCTGCAACGATGTGCCCTGTCTCGTGCACAAGCACGCGCTCGCGGAAGGACGCCCAGAGCCACCCATGCACGTGCCACGCTGCAAGCCCAGCCAGGTCCCCTCTCCACACATGCAACGCTGCACTTAACACCCACCTACGACGATGTGCCCCGCCTCGTGCACCAGTACGCGCTCACGGAAGGGCGCCCAGAGCAGCATGAGCAGCTGGCCCGCGCCCGCGCCCCCCAGGTACACGGCGTCCCCCACAGCGAGCGCGAGCGAGAGGAAGGCGAGCGCGCGCAGGTCCACGCCCGCATCCACGAGGGTGGAGAAGGCCGCGAAGAGCACGATGGGGAGCAGCGGCGATGACATGCCCCACTTCTGGGGGGCTAGGTTCTTGGCTGGGAGGGAGGGGAGGGGGAAGGGGGAAGGTGGAGGGGGGAACAATGGAACAAGGGGAGAGCGTGAGTTGAAGGGGGGAGGTGTAAGCAGCGTGGGAGATGGGAGGGTGAGGAAGGGAATTACGTGCTGAGGGAGTGCAGCGTGCACGAGTAAGGCGGGTTGCGACGACACGAGTCGAGGCAGAGGGTGAGAGGAGAGCACGATGGAGAGAGGGCGACAAGGTGGCATGCGCACGAACCTTCAAGGCCCGACCGGTCTTTGAGCACCTTGGGAGTGACGACCCGCGGCACGCCCTCCAATACTGTGGCGCCACGTGGTGGGACGGGGGGGAGTGGCATGGGGGGGCAAGGAAAGAGGGAATCAGGGACATGTGTGGGCAAGAACCGTCTGGAAGAACCGCTCTCAGCACACCTCACTGCACTCATCTCTCCCTCCCCCCCGTCGCTCTCTGTCCCGGCCACCCCCACGCACTGCTGGTTTGGAAGCGGCCGAAGTTTCTGAGGAGTCCCTGGGAGCGAAGCCACTCGTACGTCTGCCCCACCACGCGCAGGTCGCTCTCCGCCTTCCCCGCCTCCAGCAGCTGCAGCCACCGCCGCTGCCGCTCCGCCTCCTCCTCCGCCTCCTCCCCCCGCGCTTCCCGCTTCCCCGCAGGCGCCCCTCCGATCTGCGCCTGCCCTGATGCCCCCGCAGACACTATCCCCGCCGTCTCCGCGGGTAAATTCAGGAACTCGGCGGATTTTGGGGCGGTTTCGCCTGTCGTCTTCTGCGAGGCTAAAGCGGTTGCGATGGACAGCGCACGTGGGAGGTCTTTGTCGTGTAGTGCCATGTCATATTCCAGCCACGTGGGACGGGGCTCGACAGGCGGAGTTGTGGGGGAGGGAGCGGCGGAGGGAAGCGGGGATTCAGGCAGCGTCTCCGCTTGCGCTCCAGGGGGGGAGTCTAGCGACGATCGCGGCGTGAATCGCGCGTGCTTGTGTCTATTAGAAAAAGAGCGCCTTTTCGGAAGGGTCCGGCCATTGCGGATTAGAAGGGTGTGCGAACAGACGGGTCCCGCCCCCGCGCGACTTCTGCGCGCAGGTAAGGGGCATGTGGCAGGAAGGCGAGACGGGAGGCATGCGCGCGAGGGGGCTGCGGCGCAGGGCAGGTGCGCGCGCAGCGATGGAGCCATTGCTTCGAATGGCGGCGACGCGGTATACGAGGCGATTGGAAGAATACGTGCGACGCGCGTGGGTTCGAAACGGAATTATGCGCGCGACACGCTGCAGATATGGCGTGGATGAGAACGAGCGCAACGACGTGCGAAATGGAATGATGGGCGTGTGTAGAGGAAGGGGGGAGGGCAAGTTAGCAAACGCGGGGGGGCGAGGGAATGTGGAAGGATTTACAGGCGAGCTGCATTGTACGCGTTATCAATCCTTCCGTCGGAACATTCCAGCATCATATCGCCCATACTGACATGAGATTGCTTATTCCCCAGCTTTTTGGAGGTCCATTCCGAAAGTACGGTCCTGAAGCGAACAGGCACATTGCCCCAGAAACAGACTTCGTCATTTCGCGAACATACATTCGCGAAGATGTCCCACCTCCCCCACAGACCAAGGCGCTCAGAGAACTGCCACATTTGCCTGCTGGCGTTCCCCGATCGGCCTTTCTTTTGCCGCCATTCCACCAGATTTAGGGTTCTCGTCCAAGGTTTTTTGCTGGTTTAGTCGAGCATCTCTTTTCTCCACCCGCTCTCACCCGATCATTTCATTTCCAAGTCGTGCAAGGTTCACGAATAAGCTCCTCGCCACCTTGCATTGCGCGTGCTGAGGGGTAACCATGGCGTCAGTTAAGGCGCATAGTAGCAGACCCCACAGGCCGCGCCTGATCGCTTTCAATGCCGACGGCTCTCGTCTCGCCACGTGTATGGCGGACAACCGTCTTAAGGTCTGGGACGCTGTTGCCGGCAGGTTGCTCGTCGAGTGTGCTGACGTGGCGAACCGGGTGTCCGCAGATGGGGATATTCTCCCGCTCGGCGCAGGCGCAGAGGAGGGCGCGCGCGGACACCTGGAGCTGCGCTACTCGTGCATGGCTTGGGCAGAGCGCGCGCGTGATGCGGGGGAGGGGAAAGTGGGAAAGGCGGGGAAGGCGGGGAAGAAAGGCAAGAGCGCGGCTGGCGCGCAGGCGGACGCGCTAGTGGTGCTGGGCACGGCGTATGGTGACGTCATCGCGTGGGACGTGGCGATGGGCGCCGTGGCGTGGCGCCAGGCCGCCGTAGATCCCGCCGGCATCGTCGCGCTCGCCTTCCTCTCCGCCGCTGGCGCGGCGCCGCCCATCGTGTTCGCGGCCGGCACGGACGGCTACATCAGCGAGCTGAGCGCGGCGGACGGCGCGGTGCTGTCGCGGTTCCGCGCGTCCAAGTCGCCCGTTTCGAGCATAGCGGTGAGGGCGGGGGCTGAAGCGGGCGCGCCGCCGCTGCTCATGGTGGGCAGCTCGCAGCTGACTCTTTTCAATGCGGGCAGCAAGGAAAAGATTCGCAAGTTTTCCGGGCACCCGGAAAAGGTTTCCTCGATTGCGTTCTCGCCTTCGTCGAGCTTCGCGTTCAGCGCGGCGGAAGGCGACAGACACGTGGCGGTGTGGAATTTCTCCGCGGATTTTGAGAAGCGCAAGGCGTTCGCTGTGCTGTCGCTGCCCGAGCCGCCCGAATTCGTGGCGTGCGCGAAGGGGGCCGGCGGCAGCGATTCGGTGTTTCGGGTTTTGGCGCTGACAACAGAGGGCGAGGCGTATGTATGGACGGGGGCAACAATCCCTGCGCTTGCGCAAGCGCAGCCTGTGGTGGTGAAGGGGGAGCGCGTGGTGAAAGGCGCGGGGCAGGGACAGGTGCGGCAGGGGAAAAAAGGGAGAGAGGCAATACTGGCCGCGCACCTGCCCGAGGACGCCTTGGGATCGCCGATGCTTGTAGCGCGTGGCATTCTAGCGAGGCCGCAGTTCGAGAGCGTTAGCTTGGACGAGGCGCAGGAGGGCAACGAGGGCGCGCCACGTGTCGTTCTGCTGAGCGCCCCCGAGGCGACGGATCTGCTGCCCGCAGGGGGAACGAGAGTTCGCGCGGACGGGGGAGAGGGGCACGGGGAGGTGGAGGAGCAGGCGGAAGGCGCCGCGCGCGGCAAGGCGGGAAAAAAGGGGGGAAAGAAGGGGAGAGCAGGGGAGGCGGAAGACACAGGCGGAGTGCAGGTGGTGGGGGGCATGCCCATGCAGGCGCCCGTGCTGCGCGCGAGCCTCGCGGAGGCGGAGGGGGACGGCGAGGGGAAGAAGGAGCGGAAGAAGAAGAACAAGCGCAAGGCAGCAGAGGAGGAGCAGGCAGCGTCACTACTTCCCGCCACAGGCGCTGCTTCCGATGCGGCTTTAGCTGGCCCAGGCGAGGCTATGGAGGGCGTGAGCGGGGAAGCGGAGAAGACAATAGAGGAGCAGCTCAAGGAGCTGGGCATCTCCCCCTCCGCCCACTCCCTCGCGCTCTCCACCACCGCCAAAAAGCCCCACTCCTCCGCACTGGCGGCCGTCAAGGGCGGCGGCAACAAGGGCGGGGCGCGCGCAGAGACAATGGAGGTGCTGGCGGCGCCGAGGGCGGAGTCGCTGTCAGTGGTGGTGCAGCAGGCGCTGGAAGCGGGCGACATGGCGCTGCTGCGGCAGTGCTTCGAGGCCGCCCTGACCGTGCGCCGCCGCGCCCTCATCCTCCCCACCGTGCGCCACCTGCCCCCGCACCTCGCGCTCAAGCTGGTGGAGGTGGTGGCGGCGCGCGTGCAGGCGCACCCGGGGGAGGCGCTATCCATGGTGCCGTGGATGCAGGCCGCGCTGACGTGTCATGCCGGCATGCTGGCGTCAGCGCCGGCGGCGCACAAGGCGTTGGCGGCTCTGTATCAGACGGTGGAGGCAAGAGTGGCGGCGCTACGACCCATGCTTGAGCTGGCGGGGAGGCTTCAGCTCGTGGTGATGGCTGTTAGGGAGACACGTGGGGAGGAGGGGGCGCGCGGGGAGGGGGTTGGTGGGGGGTATGAGAGGGAAGGGGCGGGTGGAGGGGTGCGGGCTGCGACGGTGTATGAGGAGGGGGATGACAGCGATGTGGAGGTGGAGGATGCGACTGGTGTGGAGGAGGGGCTGTTTGGGGCCGAGGGATGGGTGGATGAGGAGGAAGAGGAGGATGAGGATGATGAGGAGGGAAGTGAGGAGGAGTATGAGGAAGAAGAGGAGAGGTTTGTGGATGATGAGGAGGGGGATTTGATGGAGGAGGATGACAATGACGAGGGTGAGGAGGATCAGTGAGGGATGTGTTGAGCGCTCAGTGCTCGCTTAGTTATGCAATGTCCAGTTTTGATGGAGCTGCTTTGAAGTGCATTTTTCCTGGGCCAAGAACCGAGTGTTAGGGTACATTCCTGTGTGGACATTTGTGTCTCAATCCTATTGTGACGCGTAAAAACAGCATAAAACGTATTATGTCACAAACGGAATCGCCTTTTAGCGACCATTACTGTATTTTTCATTGGTTAGCGTGAAACGCGCTAACATCGCGGACGAGTTGCAAATCGACCCGTCAATGGAAAAATGTCGCACGCGGTTCGAAATGTCAATGCACCTAAACAACCCCCAATGCCAATTTCGTGCGGGAAAAAAACCCGCGCGTCGAAACCACACCCCAGCCAGGCGTTTGAAGAAACGGGTGTACAGTCAATTCCGAAACCCAATCAAAAGCGCACAACTGTACATTTCGCCTGGTCGCCTAGTGTCGCAATACATTCCTTTTTTGTGACGCGAGGTTGACAAAATGTTACGACGCGACTCGGAAAAAGGGGGATTGAGACATTTGTGTCAACACATTAATGTACCCTTACACAATAATCATCCTCATTTTACCCCATATCAGTTTCTCAGTGATGGCAATGTCAATTCTACAAACTACTCTCAAACTGAGATTCTCAATTCTTCAAGAAGATAAAATAGTACAAGATGGGAAACAGGGCGCGGACAATCACCGTTGTTCACACGATTAGGTGGGTGTTCCCTTAGTGTGCTTGACAAGGATGCAGTCGGGGTTCATCAAAGCCAGGACAGCACATGCTGCTGCTCACAAGAACCCAAGGTTGATGGTATCCTTGAAGATGAGGAAGATGCCGGCGCTCAGCAGAGCCAGGAACCCTGACAACATGATGCAACGCTCCACATCCACAGCTGGCATGACATGACAGTAACCACACAAGATTCCTAGGTACATCAAGGGCCGCACATGGGGACTCAGAGTCACAAGAAGCCAAGGTTGATGGTGTCTTTGACAATGAGGAAGATACCAGCACCCAGCAGCGCCAGGAAGCCTGACGACATGATCCCTCGCTCCACATCCACGGGGATCTTCTTCCCCCCCCGCACCGCCTCCACCACCAGCAGCGCCAGGTACCCCCCGTCCAGCGCCGGCAGCGGCAGCAGATTCACCACCGCGAGGTTCAGGTTCACTATCGCTGCGAACTGGAAGAGGCCCGAGAGGTTGGTGCGTGCTACCTCCGCGCCCACTGCGACGATAGCCACCGGGCCCGACACGCGGTCGGCCGTGTTGCCAAAGTTGAAGAGGATCTGTTGAAGTCCGTCCACCACGGCCCCCATGAGCCGCGCGAACTCCTTGGCAGCAGCCACTGTGCCGGCCAGGAGGTTATCAGCACGCTCCTGCTCCTGGTAGGAGTTGGGTGCTAGTTGCACGCCAATGCGCCCCCCACCGTCACGGAACGACACGTCCGGCACCACCCTGATGCTCACCACGCGCTTCTCTCCCTCCCCTGCCGCTGCGCTTGCTGCTGCTCCTGCTGCACTTCCCCCTGCCGCACTCACCCCTGTGAGCTCTCCTTCCACGCCCCCGCTGCTGAGAGGCGGGGCTTGCACGGAGCGGAGCACGTCGAGGCTGATGGGGCGGCCGGGTGACGCGCGGATGTAGCTGACGAGGTCGGACACGGCGGTGCTAGACGGCTCCAGCGCCCTGCCGTCCGCCGCCACTACAAGGTCGCCTGGCAGCAGCCCTGCACGCTCGCCCGCTGACCCGTACACCACGTCTGGGACCAGCACTCCTGGTTGGTATACCTGCTGGATCAGACCCACTGTGTTCACCTGGGGGAGGGAGGGAAGGGCGAGGAAAGAAACGGGGAATGTGTGTGCGGGCAGCACTATGTTGATGAGGGGGAAAATGGTGGTGAAGAGCAAAGCTAGGTGGATTCTGTTGGGGTCATTCATGGCAACCTCACATGACAATGCCATGATGTTCCAGCGCTTGTGTAATGTGAACGTCAAAGAGTCCACCGCTGCTGTGATGCGGCAAGGAAGGAACTGAGGGAGGAACTGAGGGAGGGAGGAACTGAGGGAGGAACTGAGGGAGGAACTGAGGGAGGAACTGAGGGAGGAAGGAACTGAGGGAGGAACTGAGGGAGGAAGGAACTGAGGGAGGAACTGAGGGAGGAACTGAGGGAGGAACTGAGGGAGGAAGGAGCTGAGGGACTGAGGGAGGAACTGAGGGAGGAACTGAGGGAGGAACTGAGGGAGGAACTGAGGGAGGAACTGAGGGAGGAACTGAGGGAGGAAGGAACTGAGGGAGGAACTGAGGGAGGAACTGAGGGAGGGAGGAACTGAGGGAGGAACTGAGGGAGGAAGGAACTGAGGGAGGGAGGAACTGAGGGAGGAACTGAGGGAGGAAGGAGCTGAGGGACTGAGGGAGGAACTGAGGGAGGAACTGAGGGAGGAACTGAGGGAGGAACTGAGGGAGGAACTGAGGGAGGAACTGAGGGAGGAACTGAGGGAGGAACTGAGGGAGGAAGGAACTGAGGGAGGGACTGAGGGAGGGACTGAGGGAGGGACTGAGGGAGGAACTGAGGGAGGAAGGAACTGAGGGAGGAACTGAGGGAGGAACTGAGGGAGGAACTGAGGGAGGGACTGAGGGGAGAACTGAGGGAGGAACTGAGGGAGGAACTGAGGGAGGAAGGAACTGAGGGAGGAACTGAGGGAGGAACTGAGGGAGGAACTGAGGGAGGAAGGAACTGAGGGAGGAACTGAGGGAGGAACTGAGGGAGGAAGGAACTGAGGGAGGAACTGAGGGAGGAACTGAGGGAGGAACTGAGGGAGGAAGGAACTGAGGGAGGAACTGAGGGAGGGACTGAGGGAGGAACTGAGGGAGGAACTGAGGGAGGAACTGAGGGAGGAACTGAGGGAGGGAGGAACTGAGGGAGGAAGGAACTGAGGGAGGAACTGAGGGAGGTAGGAACTAAGGGAAGAACTGAGGGAGGAACTGAGGGAGGGACTGAGGGAGGAACTGAGGGAGGAACTGAGGAGGAGCTGAGGGAGGAACTGAGGGAGGAACTGAGGGAGGAACTGAGGGAGGAACTGAGGGAGGGACTGAGGGAGGAACTGAGGGAGGAACTGAGGGAGGAAGGAACTGAGGGAATAACTGAGGGAGGAACTGAGGGAGGAAGGAACTGAGGGAGGAACTGAGGGAGGAACTGAGGGAGGAACTGAGGGAGGAACTGAGGAGGAGCTGAGGGAGGAACTGAGGGAGGAACTGAGGGAGGAACTGAGGGAGGGACTGAGGGAGGAACTGAGGGAGGAACTGAGGGAGGAAGGAACTGAGGGAGGAACTGAGGGAGGGACTGAGGGAGGAACTGAGGGAGGAACTGAGGGAGGAACTGAGGGAGGAACTGAGGGAGGAACTGAGGGAGGGAGGAACTGAGGGAGGAAGGAACTGAGGGAGGAACTGAGGGAGGTAGGAACTAAGGGAAGAACTGAGGGAGGAACTGAGGGAGGGACTGAGGGAGGAACTGAGGGAGGAACTGAGGAGGAGCTGAGGGAGGAACTGAGGGAGGAACTGAGGGAGGAACTGAGGGAGGAACTGAGGGAGGGACTGAGGGAGGAACTGAGGGAGGAACTGAGGGAGGAAGGAACTGAGGGAATAACTGAGGGAGGAACTGAGGGAGGAAGGAACTGAGGGAGGAACTGAGGGAGGAACTGAGGGAGGAACTGAGGGAGGAACTGAGGGAGGAACTGAGGGAGGAAGGAACTGAGGGAAGAACTAAGGGAGGAACTGAGGGAGGAACTGAGGGAGGAACTAAGGGAGGGACTGAGGAAGGAACTGAGGGAGGAACTGAGGGAGGAACTGAGGGAGGAACTGAGGGAGGAACTGAGGGAGGGACTGAGGGGAGAACTGAGGGAGGAACTGAGGGAGGAACTGAGGGAGGAAGGAACTGAGGGAAGAACTAAGGGAGGAACTGAGGGAGGAACTGAGGGAGGAACTAAGGGAGGGACTGAGGAAGGAACTGAGGGAGGAACTGAGGGAGGAACTGAGGGAGGAAGGAACTGAGGGAGGAACTGAGGGAGGTAGGAACTAAGGGAAGAACTGAGGGAGGAACTGAGGGAGGGACTGAGGGAGGAACTGAGGGAGGAACTGAGGAGGAGCTGAGGGAGGAACTGAGGGAGGAACTGAGGGAGGAACTGAGGGAGGAACTGAGGGAGGGACTGAGGGAGGAACTGAGGGAGGAACTGAGGGAGGAAGGAACTGAGGGAATAACTGAGGGAGGAACTGAGGGAGGAAGGAACTGAGGGAGGAACTGAGGGAGGAACTGAGGGAGGAACTGAGGGAGGAACTGAGGGAGGAACTGAGGGAGGAACTGAGGGAGGAACTGAGGGAGGAAGGAACTGAGGGAAGAACTAAGGGAGGAACTGAGGGAGGAACTGAGGGAGGAACTAAGGGAGGGACTGAGGAAGGAACTGAGGGAGGAACTGAGGGAGGAACTGAGGGAGGAAGGAACTGAGAGAAGAACTAAGGGAGGAACTGAGGGAGGAACTGAGGGAGGAAGGAGCTGAGGGACTGAGGGAGGAACTGAGGGAGGAACTGAGGGAGGAACTGAGGGAGGAACTGAGGGAGGAACTGAGGGAGGAACTGAGGGAGGAAGGAACTGAGGGAGGAACTGAGGGAGGAACTGAGGGAGGAACTGAGGGAGGAACTGAGGGAGGAAGGAACTGAGGGAGGGAGGAACTGAGGGAGGAACTGAGGGAGGAAGGAGCTGAGGGACTGAGGGAGGAACTGAGGGAGGAACTGAGGGAGGAACTGAGGGAGGAACTGAGGGAGGAACTGAGGGAGGAACTGAGGGAGGAACTGAGGGAGGAACTGAGGGAGGAAGGAACTGAGGGAGGGACTGAGGGAGGGACTGAGGGAGGGACTGAGGGAGGAACTGAGGGAGGAAGGAACTGAGGGAGGAACTGAGGGAGGAACTGAGGGAGGAACTGAGGGAGGGACTGAGGGGAGAACTGAGGGAGGAACTGAGGGAGGAAGGAACTGAGGGAGGAACTGAGGGAGGAACTGAGGGAGGAACTGAGGGAGGAAGGAACTGAGGGAGGAACTGAGGGAGGAACTGAGGGAGGAAGGAACTGAGGGAGGAACTGAGGGAGGAACTGAGGGAGGAACTGAGGGAGGAAGGAACTGAGGGAGGAACTGAGGGAGGGACTGAGGGAGGAACTGAGGGAGGAACTGAGGGAGGAACTGAGGGAGGAACTGAGGGAGGGAGGAACTGAGGGAGGAAGGAACTGAGGGAGGAACTGAGGGAGGTAGGAACTAAGGGAAGAACTGAGGGAGGAACTGAGGGAGGGACTGAGGGAGGAACTGAGGGAGGAACTGAGGAGGAGCTGAGGGAGGAACTGAGGGAGGAACTGAGGGAGGAACTGAGGGAGGAACTGAGGGAGGGACTGAGGGAGGAACTGAGGGAGGAACTGAGGGAGGAAGGAACTGAGGGAATAACTGAGGGAGGAACTGAGGGAGGAAGGAACTGAGGGAGGAACTGAGGGAGGAACTGAGGGAGGAACTGAGGGAGGAACTGAGGGAGGAACTGAGGGAGGAACTGAGGGAGGAACTGAGGGAGGAAGGAACTGAGGGAGGAACTGAGGGAGGAACTGAGGGAGGAACTGAGGGAGGAAGGAGCAGAGGGAGGAACTGAGGGAGGAACTGAGGGAGGAAGGAACTGAGGGAGGAACTGAGGGAGGAACTGAGGGAGGAACTGAGGGAGGGACTGAGGGAGGAACTGAGGGAGGAACTGAGGGAGGAACTGAGGGAGGAACTGAGGGAGGAACTGAGGGAGGGAGGAACTGAGGGAGGAAGGAACTGAGGGAGGAACTGAGGGAGGTAGGAACTAAGGGAAGAACTGAGGGAGGAACTGAGGGAGGGACTGAGGGAGGAACTGAGGGAGGAACTGAGGAGGAGCTGAGGGAGGAACTGAGGGAGGAACTGAGGGAGGAACTGAGGGAGGAACTGAGGGAGGGACTGAGGGAGGAACTGAGGGAGGAACTGAGGGAGGAACTGAGGGAGGAAGGAACTGAGGGAGGAACTGAGGGAGGAACTGAGGGAGGAACTGAGGGAGGAACTGAGGGAGGAACTGAGGGAGGAAGGAACTGAGGGAAGAACTAAGGGAGGAACTGAGGGAGGAACTGAGGGAGGAACTAAGGGAGGGACTGAGGAAGGAACTGAGGGAGGAACTGAGGGAGGAACTGAGGGAGGAAGGAACTGAGGGAATAACTGAGGGAGGAACTGAGGGAGGAAGGAACTGAGGGAGGAACTGAGGGAGGAACTGAGGGAGGAACTGAGGGAGGAACTGAGGGAGGAACTGAGGGAGGAAGGAACTGAGGGAATAACTGAGGGAGGAACTGAGGGAGGAAGGAACTGAGGGAGGAACTGAGGGAGGAACTGAGGGAGGAACTGAGGGAGGAACTGAGGGAGGAACTGAGGGAGGAAGGAACTGAGGGAAGAACTAAGGGAGGAACTGAGGGAGGAACTGAGGGAGGAACTGAGGGAGGAAGGAACTGAGGGAGGAACTGAGGGAGGAACTGAGGGAGGGAGGAACTGAGGGAGGAACTGAGGGAGGAAGGAACTGAGGGAATAACTGAGGGAGGAACTGAGGGAGGAAGGAACTGAGGGAGGAACTGAGGGAGGAACTGAGGGAGGAACTGAGGGAGGAACTGAGGGAGGAACTGAGGGAGGAACTGAGGGAGGAACTGAGGGAGGAAGGAACTGAGGGAAGAACTAAGGGAGGAACTGAGGGAGGAACTGAGGGAGGAACTAAGGGAGGGACTGAGGAAGGAACTGAGGGAGGAACTGAGGGAGGAACTGAGGGAGGAAGGATTTGAGAGAAGAACTAAGGGAGGAACTGAGGGAGGAACTGAGGGAGGAAGGAGCTGAGGGACTGAGGGAGGAACTGAGGGAGGAACTGAGGGAGGAACTGAGGGAGGAACTGAGGGAGGAACTGAGGGAGGAACTGAGGGAGGAAGGAACTGAGGGAGGAACTGAGGGAGGAACTGAGGGAGGGAGGAACTGAGGGAGGAACTGAGGGAGGAAGGAACTGAGGGAGGGAGGAACTGAGGGAGGAACTGAGGGAGGAAGGAGCTGAGGGACTGAGGGAGGAACTGAGGGAGGAACTGAGGGAGGAACTGAGGGAGGAACTGAGGGAGGAACTGAGGGAGGAACTGAGGGAGGAACTGAGGGAGGAACTGAGGGAGGAAGGAACTGAGGGAGGGACTGAGGGAGGGACTGAGGGAGGGACTGAGGGAGGAACTGAGGGAGGAAGGAACTGAGGGAGGAACTGAGGGAGGAACTGAGGGAGGAACTGAGGGAGGGACTGAGGGGAGAACTGAGGGAGGAACTGAGGGAGGAACTGAGGGAGGAAGGAACTGAGGGAGGAACTGAGGGAGGAACTGAGGGAGGAACTGAGGGAGGAAGGAACTGAGGGAGGAACTGAGGGAGGAACTGAGGGAGGAAGGAACTGAGGGAGGAACTGAGGGAGGAACTGAGGGAGGAACTGAGGGAGGAAGGAACTGAGGGAGGAACTGAGGGAGGGACTGAGGGAGGAACTGAGGGAGGAACTGAGGGAGGAACTGAGGGAGGAACTGAGGGAGGGAGGAACTGAGGGAGGAAGGAACTGAGGGAGGAACTGAGGGAGGTAGGAACTAAGGGAAGAACTGAGGGAGGAACTGAGGGAGGGACTGAGGGAGGAACTGAGGGAGGAACTGAGGAGGAGCTGAGGGAGGAACTGAGGGAGGAACTGAGGGAGGAACTGAGGGAGGGACTGAGGGAGGAACTGAGGGAGGAACTGAGGGAGGAAGGAACTGAGGGAATAACTGAGGGAGGAACTGAGGGAGGAAGGAACTGAGGGAGGAACTGAGGGAGGAACTGAGGGAGGAACTGAGGGAGGAACTGAGGGAGGAACTGAGGGAGGAACTGAGGGAGGAACTGAGGGAGGAAGGAACTGAGGGAGGAACTGAGGGAGGAACTGAGGGAGGAAGGAGCAGAGGGAGGAACTGAGGGAGGAACTGAGGGAGGAACTGAGGGAGGAACTGAGGGAGGAACTGAGGGAGGAACTGAGGGAGGAAGGAACTGAGGGAGGAACTGAGGGAGGGACTGAGGGAGGAACTGAGGGAGGAACTGAGGGAGGAACTGAGGGAGGAACTGAGGGAGGAACTGAGGGAGGGAGGAACTGAGGGAGGAAGGAACTGAGGGAGGAACTGAGGGAGGTAGGAACTAAGGGAAGAACTGAGGGAGGAACTGAGGGAGGGACTGAGGGAGGAACTGAGGGAGGAACTGAGGAGGAGCTGAGGGAGGAACTGAGGGAGGAACTGAGGGAGGAACTGAGGGAGGAACTGAGGGAGGGACTGAGGGAGGAACTGAGGGAGGAACTGAGGGAGGAAGGAACTGAGGGAATAACTGAGGGAGGAACTGAGGGAGGAAGGAACTGAGGGAGGAACTGAGGGAGGAACTGAGGGAGGAACTGAGGGAGGAACTGAGGGAGGAACTGAGGGAGGAAGGAACTGAGGGAGGAACTGAGGGAGGAACTGAGGGAGGAACTGAGGGAGGAACTAAGGGAGGGACTGAGGAAGGAACTGAGGGAGGAACTGAGGGAGGAACTGAGGGAGGAAGGAACTGAGAGAAGAACTAAGGGAGGAACTGAGGGAGGAACTGAGGGAGGAACTGTGAACTGAGGGAGGAACTGAGGGAGGGACTGAGGGAGGAACTGAGGGAGGAACTGAGGGAGGAACTGAGAAAGGAAGGAACTGAGGGAGGAAGGTAAGGGTGTAAAAACGAATACGGATTCGAATACGGTTATCTTAGAACGAATAATTGTCAGAAACCTGGCTGCTTTTGTATTTCTTCAATACATTGTGTGTCGAATACGGTTTCGAATAAAATAGCTTGCGCAAACAAATATTTTAGATTCACGCGATACGCTTGAGGCTCTGAGCGTATACTCCAACTTAGTTTGATATTTGTCGAATATCGAATACTAATACGAATCCAGTGGTATTTGTTTACACCCTTAGCTGCAATCCCAGTGGAACATGAGCGGCAAACTACTGGACCAGAAAAACGTCATTGCAGTGCCAGAACAGCACCAAGCCATCGCAGACCGACACAAAGTCAGCGCTCCACCCATAACACAACCGTCATTGTCATGTCAGGCCACCACCATGCCACACAGCCCAGCACGCACCTGGGTGAAGAGCAGCGCATAGGCGAACACGATGTTAGCAATGACCCCAGCGCTGATGACAAACGCGCGGTCAGCGAGGGGGCGGTTCTTGAGCAGATCCGGGTCGTCAGGCGGGTACACCGCCTCCTCACTCGGGTCGTCATCCGGGAAGCCCACAAACCCGCCCAGCGGGAACGCCCTCAGTGCATACTCCACGCCTTTGTCTGTGGTGCCATCCTTGCCCTTGCCCTGGTACTTGGCGAGCACCGGGCCGAAGCCGATGGAGAACTTGGTGACGTGCACGCCCAGGGAGCGCGCGGCGAGGAAGTGGCCTGCCTCGTGCACCGCCACTATCAGCGCCAGCACGCCCACTGCCTCTACCACTGAGCCTGGGCCTGACAGGTCGAACCCGCCCGTGAGCGGTGAGAAGGCGAGGAAGGCGGCCGAGAGGAGCGCTGTGGACGCGGGGAGGAGTGATGGGAAGGCGGATGGTGCTGGTGCTGCACGGGTGCGGGTGACGGGGAGGTGGGGAGGGACGGTGGTCAGGGATGGAGGAAAGGGGGGATTGAGAAGGTTAGGGGAGAAGTTGATTCCCCACAGACACCGTGGTGCGCGCACCACGGTTTTGCTCACATTTGTGCTCAACGACTGGTGACCGGCCGAGTCACCACTAAAAACTCTTTCCTGTCGGCCCCCTTGGCTCGACAAGCGGAATTCCACAGCGCACCGATAAGCGGAAGAGAGCGTTCTCACCTGATTCAACGCCGCGCGACTCGGCGACAGTGGTCTCCGCTGTCTCCTCTGCGACCCCTCCCTCCGCCTCCGCTCGCCGCGGCTCTACTCTCCCCTCCTCCGCACATTCGTGGCTGCTGCTCCCCCTCGACTCCGCGCATACCCGCTGTAAGCCGCTGCGATACGACGCGGGGAACGACGGCCGGGAAACGAAGGCTTTCGGCCGACGTGGTAGCAACGCCACTGCCCGCGGTCTTAAGCACGAGAGTGTCTGGACGGGGTGGGGCAACAAGTGAGACAGTCGACGCCGCATGAATGGTAAACATCGTGATTTGAGAGATTGCGCGAGGCGATAGTGGTAGGTGAATACTAGGGTTGATTCTTTTTAGTTCGTTCCTGCTCTGACTAAGGAGGCTCTTGGGGGCACTTTTGCGGGTAACGCGCACCTGAGTTGGCGCATGCTCGACGAGATTCGAGCGTGGAATCCGCAATCCCGTGGAAGCGACTCGGAGAGTCGACATGAACGGCAGGTCTCGGGCGAGTTTGACGTGCAGGGGTGACAGTGAACGGAAGCGCCTCCCACCCGCAACGACGCGAGACGGTTGTGTCGGACTGAAACCAGCGGAGAGCTTGGCACGTCGACCTGCGTTGAGAATGATGGCGATGCTACCTTGGGACTTGCAAGTGAGTGCTCTTCAAGTGCTAGTGTTCCGGTTCGGATACTTGGAGGATCCAGGCCGATAGGAGTGTGGGGAAGGGCACGCAGGTGAAGCAGCGGCGCACAAGGCCCTGGGAATGTCGGTCATCGTCACAGGCCGAGAGCCTCGTCGACAAGGAGCGCGGGAGACATGGCTGGTATCGAACCACGTGGCGCTCTGCACCTTGCTTAACTTTCCTTTAACGCACTCGGAGTGTAGCAAGCTAGTTTGAACGCAAAAGCTGCATGTATCTCTAATAGGCTAATGAATACAATCACACTCTAGTATGTGTAATAAGGACATAGCTTGCAGCGAAGCTGGTTAGCACTCTACCAGCCTAAGCTATGGATACACTAGGAGCTTTGGGACTGTCTCTTTTGCACTACCGAGTCTGAGGAGGGGACATCTTTAATGAGCCCCTCCTCTTCATCCAATTGTGCGGCCTTCCTTGCAGCATCCTTGGACTTCATTTCCTGCTCATTGCCCAACACACCAAACAAAAGGTGCCACACGTCTCAGCCTCAAAGCACAAAAACCCTTAAATGCCTCTTAGATTCATGCATCAACCAACTTACTTGCAATTTGGAGTGGTTATACCAGCACACTCCACCAAACGCCAGAAGATACCCGAACAAGTTGATGGCGGTTACCCTATCCTTGATGACAGACCAGGAGAAGGCAATAAGTAGCCAGTCTTTCACCACTCCTGCAGGGCAAGAATGCAGCGCAGAGCAACAATTAGTCAGTTTGGTCACAAATTTGCCGGAATTGTGCCCAAACCCCACAGAGCAATATGACACACGATGAAGAGCAACACGCCTACAGACCTGCGACGTTCATGGTGAGTGCTGACGTCTTGCCGATGAGCAGGAAGACAGCGAGGTTGAGGGCGAAGGCGCACACACAGTTGCCCCCAAACACCAGCAGGTCGGGGCGAGGGGCGGCGAGGTGCGGGGCGAGGGAGGGGTACTCAACGAAGAACCAGGGCACGGTGAGGAAGATGAGGCACGTGGGGGACACGTAGTAGAGGCTTGTAATGGGGTTCAGTGAGATGCCCTTGGATGCCAGCAGGATCTGCAGGGGTGGAGTAGGACAAATGGGGACATATGAGATCCGACATGCAAAGACATCCGGGGGGCGTGGTGCATTGAGGTGACAGTGGACCAGGCTATGAGCTGTTCTCATGGGCATTGACTGTTAAGGCAAGGCCTGGATGAGAGGAATCCGTGAAAGGTTGGTGTGGTAACTACTAACCACAAGGTAAAGGTCAAGCACGCAGGAGAGGCGGGGCATACCTGGATGAGCACGAGGCGAGTGGCTTCAAAGGCAACGGCAGCGAGCTGCAGGAGGACGCCTGTGAAGTTGAAGTTGGCCTCGCCGTACGCCGCTATGCCGACGCCGACGGAGACGAGCAGCATGTTGCTCATGGTGGAGCAGCGGAACACGTCCTTCTGAAACGCCACTCCCAGCGTGTACACCGCCACTGGCATCAGCGCCTTCAGCATCTGGTGGTGGGGGACGGGGGGATGGGTCATCCTGGAAGTGATGAGGAGTAGGGGTGAGCTGGTTGAAGGGGGTCTGCAGGGGTGAGCTACAGCGGGAAGGAGGGAAAGAGGAGGGGCAGAAGGGACATGGAAGAGAGGGGGTGGGATGAGAAAGGGGGGGTGGGAAAGAGTGAACGAGAGGAGTACGCGTGGAAAGAAGGAAGGAGAGGGGGGGACGGGGATGTGGAGTGAGGGGAGAAGAGGAGAAGTGGGGAGGGAAAGAAAACCCCATAAGCAAGGCAGTATACATGTATAATTTTAGCAGGCGAAGACCCCATCATAACAGGCACTACAAGGGCAACGTCGTGGGCCGTGGCAGTGGAGGAAAGTGACAAGCACAGCACAGCTCAACCAGGAGTGAGGAGAGAGTGGCACCTGGATGAAGGAGACGGAGAGGTAGATGTAGGCGGAGTTGGAGAACCAGAGGCTCATGGCGTAGAGCGCGCCGATGGGCAGCACGGAGGAGACGTACATCTCGAGGCTCATGGCCACCGGCTCCACCACGCGCACCACGCGCACCAGCACGAAGGCCAGCGACGAGCAGAACGCCATGTGGATCATCGTCAGACTGCACGGGGAGAGGGGGAGGCGAGATACGGAGGGGGAGAAGCGGGAGAAAAGGGGGGTGAAAAACAGCGCACGGGGAGGTGAGTAGAGCAAGAGTTATGCGCGCGTGGACGGTCTGTTCGAATTCGACGTGGATCACAAGTCAGCTTCCAGCAGCTCACCTGATGGGATACGGCCAGTTGTACATCTTCCTGTCCAGGATGTACTTATTGAAGATAATGACGGAGAAACTTAAAACGATCCATATCGCCACGTAAAAGTAGCTCAGAATTATTCTCCGCAACAAAGGACTAAGGAACGCCATGGCGCGACTAGTTTGAGAAGTGAATGTAAAGTAAAACGCAACAGCACAGGTAATAGAGCGATGCTAGCGCACTAGTGCCTGCTCGCGATGTGCTGATCTCTGTGCGATTTAGCTTGCTGAGTGACAGAGGGCAGAATCTGACGAGCGCAGTCACTGGGTCTTGGAAACCGTCTGAGACTCGCTACTCCTACTCAGGAATTGCTGAAGCGGGGTTCCCTGCATCGCTCCTTGATTAATCAGCTGCTTCGAACCTCACAAGCAACCTCGGCAATCCCAAACAGCTCATGGAAATGCTCGAATGGCCATGCTCATCTGCCGGGGCGTGTCACGGCGTGAATAGACAGCTGACAACAGGACCTGGCTGTTTGAAGTGTCCTGCTAATCTCGAGAGCCGTGATAGTGCCTGCCTGGTATTATACTGAAAGCAGAAGAGGAATATTGAAATCACTGTATTCTTATTGGCTACTGTATCACTATCCATCCACTGTACATTTTGAGATTGAGAACCCCCTTGTAACCAGGCATCACGAAAGTCCTGACACCCGGCCACAGGCATTTGTTCCAGTGGCATTCATCATCAAAGTTGAGGGCGAATATTTGCGAAAGGCTAGCAAACCGCACGAACGGCTCTAGTGCCGGGGAAACTTGAAGGGCAACACCAATATCCGAGAAGCAGAGTTCTTCCGCTGAAGCAGGGAATCATCACCCGAGATAAGGCCTGAAAACACGACATGAGTGTCCAATTACTTCATTATCATCTAGAGACTAAGCGAGGTTCACGCGGTTACGGCGGAGTCTTGCTTCTGTCCGACCATTAGCCATCATGAATCCCCTAACGCAGATCAAGAACACGCAGAAAATAACAGCGCGAGAGACTGCTAGAGGAGTATCGGACGAAGCGTCATGGCACGCCAAGTACAAGGAGTCCGCGTATGTTTTCGTCGGCGGCCTTCCGTACGACCTCACTGAGGGCGACCTCCTTGCGGTCTTTGCCCAGTAAGACTCGCTCACTGAATCCTCTTATTCCACTCCAGTGTCATGGTTCCGCTTGCACGGCTCGTTCTAGTGCAGTGTAAGAAGTTGCGCTGGTCTATTCCTTATAAATGTCACTTCCCCAGTGCGTTTTTCTAATCATTCTTTCCTTTTCCTCCATACTTGGCTAGGTACGGTGAGATAATGGACGTGAATCTGGTGCGGGACAAGTCCACTGGCAAGTCCAAGGGCTTCGCGTTTCTGGCGTACGAGGACCAGCGCAGCACCATCCTCGCTGTCGGTGCGTTCGTTCGTAGGATGAGCCTGGTGTATCCCGTTGATGCCTCATGTGACCACCTCGGATCAAATTCATCAACAACTCTCACAGCATCAACAATTCAGCTATAATTGCTAGGGAGTTTCTATTGCACTTCGATTTCGTTTTTGCCGAACCCGTTGCTCCTCTTCGCCCTCCCCGTCCCAACCGCCTGCTTCCACCCTTCCTCTCGGGCTCCTCCCTCCTCCACTGTGCAGACAACCTGAACGGCGCTAAGGTTGCCGGGCGGATAGTGAGGGTGGACCACGTGGCGGACTACAAGAGGATAGCCAAGGAGGATGAGGAGGAGCGGGCGAAGCGCAGGGAAGAGAACGGGGTCTGCTATGCGTTCCAGAGAGGGGAGTGCTCCCGAGGAGACAACTGCCGCTTCTCTCATGATGCCCAGGTAGAGTCCACCTGCACACCTGGAAGACTCTCGCTTGGTACTTTTAAACCAGGGTCTGATTCTATTCTTGATGTAAACCAAGCTTATTGTTCCCATTTGTGTATTCCCCACCACCAGAGAAACGCTGACACGGGATGGGGCGGGAAGGAGGGCATGGAACGGGGAACAGAGAGCCGCAGCAGGGCTGATTTCGAGCCGCGCGACGAGCGAGTGAACGGTGGTAGAGGCGCTGGTGGGAGGCCAGGCGTTGCACGAGGGGAGGAGGGGAGGGAGAGAAATGGGGAGGGTGATGGTGGTGATAGGACCCTGAGATGGGCGAAAGAGGATGTGATCGGACGGAGAGGAGAAGATGAGGAGGTGAAGGGCGGAGAGGAAGGTGTCAGACTGAGAGAAGGTGATCGGCGAGAGGAGGGCAGGCACAAGGCGCGACAGGCTGGGAAGGGAGAACGTGAGAGGAAGGATGGTCATGCATTGAGGAAAGGCACGATCTTTCGCCACGAGGGGTTCAGGAATGAAACAAACGACGGGGGGGATGACAGGCTGATTGGTGAGGAGGATGACGGCAGGGGTAAGGATGAGCGGAGGAAGGTCAGAAGCAGGGAAGGTGGCGAGAGGCATGGGAAGCGGGAACAGAGGGGTAAGGATGATAAGGAAGAGAGGAGAGGTGCAAGACGGGAGTTGGAGGAGGAAAAACGAGAGAGGTTCAAGGGCAGTGATGACAAGCACAAGCGGCGAAGGGAGGAGGATGAGGCCGAGAGGACAAAGCGCAGGAGTGATGAAGACAGAAGGCGGTGGAAAAGGGATGAGGAGTACCGTAGGTGACTGGGATGCACAGATTGTGGCACGTCACCAGTGACCAGTCTCCGTGTGGCCAAGCTGGTGATTCTGCAATGATTGGTAATCCAAAGGTGACTCATTTTGCTGTTCATATTGTGACATAACCAGCAGCCTTTGTTGGATGCAGGTTCTTTAGCACCTTCACTCCTTCCGTTTCTCCAAGTCAAACTCAATAGGCATTCAAATGTCAGCAGCCAGTTCAAAACTGAAGCAGCACCCCAACCAGATGCACTCAAGGCATCAAGCTTCAAGACATACAGTCATAATAGACTTTCAACACTCAGATTCTGCGTTCAACTACTGGTAAAAGCGCCAGTTCGGGTCAGCACTGCAAGCCACCAGTTGACAAGGCAGCAGCACCATCTCCCAACGCCAGATCATCTTCTTATCCCCACCGGCTTCAGGCAGCGCCTAGCCAAAGCACTGTTCACCGGGCACAGGCGGCGGGATGTAGCCGTAGTCGAGCAGCTGCAGTCCGAACACCACGACAGCTGCCAGCAGTGTCAGGTACGCCAGCCCCTCCGCCGCGCCCAGCAGCCCGTAGGGTCCGTTGGGCAGCCCCTTGCCGGTGGACGCCTTGGTGTACGCCGACCACCCCACCAGCCCCACGATTGCGAGGTACGCCACGCCCTCCAGCGCGCCCAAACTGCCGCCCGGCCCCGGGGGCAGCCCGCACCCTGCAGGTGGAGGGAAGGGTTTTGATCAAAGCGGAGTGGAGGGGGTCGGTGACTTTGCGAAGAGGTGTGGAGTGGGCGCGGAGAAAAATTAAGGAAGGCAGCACGCCGGTGGAGTGGCATGGGAGGCGAAGATGGGCATCGTTATCGCGCGTGTCAACGGTATGGTGGTAACGGAGGTAATGTCAGCGTAGTGACGGCGGCAGTGGCGGGAATGGTGGCGGGAATGGTGGCGCTCACCGGTGGTCTTGAGGGTAAAGAGCGACCAGGCAACCACGGGAACGGAAATCAGGCCGCTGACGGCCCCCACGATCTCCGCCGTACTGCTCCCCTCATCACTCGCCTTCGCGCGAACAAGCGGGCGTTGAACGCGGGGAAGAGCGCGCGAAGCAGTGACTCGCGCATAGAGCGCGGGGGTTGCGCGGGTGCGCGCGGAGGAGAGGGCCGCGGGGATGGCAGCCGTCGAGCGCAGCGGGAGCGCAACAGCCGCTGAGGTGATCATTGCGGAAGCCATGGTGGAAATGTCCAACAAGGTCCCACGGCGGCAGGTGATGTTCGATTAGAAATGAAATTAGTCTGTTTTAAATGGTACGGGGGCAGTACAGCTCTCGTAGCTCAGTTGGTTAGAGCGTATGGCTGTTAACCATAAGGTCGGTGGTTCAAGCCCACCCGGGAGCGGCTGTTATCGTTGGGGAGACCGCGTTTTATGTTTTGATCCAATTCGTCAGTTCGCTTGTCCGTGTTGCATCATCCCCTTCACCCCATTGAAGAAATTTCTCTCGTTTTTTCTCCCGTTTTCTTTTCTCGTGCCCCTTACGTTACCTTGGCCTCGATCCGCTCCCGTCGACGCTGATCGGAAGCTCAACGCGAGGCGGTAGGCCGATGTTTGCGGGAACGACTAGTTAGGACCCCAACGACCGAATGCTTGGTCGATCAACGGTCAATTCGTAACCTGGAGATTTTTCTTTGGGGAGTAGATCGAGTGATTTTGTGGGCGTGAAGGTAAACGGCAGCAGCACGAGATGACGACGCGGATCACGCCGGGGGTGGGCGCTAATCTCATCGGGCAGCACGCGCAGGAGCGCAACCAAGACGCCACCGCCTATGTCGGCAACCTCGACCCGCAGGTGCGTGCGCTCGTGCCTCGCAGCGCGGTTTATGCTGTCATTGCGTTGACAGCATTCGGATGCATCCGCGTGATTGTGTCTCCTCGTTCACATGTCATGCCTGGGCCCTCAGCCATTTCTGTTCGTTTTTTACCTACCCTTTACCTTCCCAACTCTACCCCTGTGCCCTTGTCCCCGCCACGCTCCCCCACGTTCACCGCTGTGCCCGTTGTCCCCCCTCACGCTCCACCAATTTCCCGCCATTTATCCACCACCCACGTCCCCCCTCTTTCCCCTCCCTGCCCCTTGTCCCCCATGCCCCACCCTTATCCCCTTGTGCTCTCCGCGAAGCGAATTCCCTTTCCCACTATGTCCCTGATCCACCCACCATGCACCCCCTCTTCCGCCTGTGCCCTTTTCCCCTCAACGTCCCCCCTCATCCTCCCTGTGCCCTTTCGCCCTCTCCATGCCCCCATTCTTTCTCCCCTGTGCCCCTTCCCCCCATGCTCCCCCTCTTTTTTCCCTTTGACCCTTTCCCCCATGCTCCCCCTCTTTTTCCCCCCTGCCCCTTTCCCCTTTATGTTCCCCCGTATGCCCTCCCTCGCACCACGCCACCCCCCACGGGCGCAGATGTCGGAGGAGCTCATATGGGAGCTCTTCGTGCAGGCGGGGCCCGTCGGTAAGCCAAGGGGTTGGAAGGAGGTGGGATTGGGGACGGGCTGGGGGTTGTTGGGAGGAGTATGGAGGGGTCAACAGTCTGTTGGAAAGGGGCAGAGAAGTATGGTGGTGTTATTCAATGTGGCATGCATGCGTTACGCCACTCCTCCTGTTCCTGCACCCCTTTCTTTTCTTGCCTATCTCTGCTCCTGACTTTTCTCCATGTCTCCTGCACCCTTCCTCTTCAGCCTGCTTCCCACTCCCATCGCCATCCGCTCCCCCTCTCCACATCCCCTTTCCCCCCCCGTCCCTCCCTGCGCCCCGCGCGCGGCAGTGAACGTGTATGTGCCCAAGGATCGAGTGACGGGGCAGCACCAGGGGTACGGCTTTGTGGAGTTCCGCTCAGAAGAGGACGCCGACTATGTGCGTGGGGGGGGGAATTCATGAGCGGGGGGGAGATGCGTGGTGGTGTGGTAAATTGTGTGTGCTGAGCTGGTTGGGGGGTGTCAGCTTGTCAGTGGTTTGGTGCGGACTTGTGAGTGGGAAGGTGGTGACTTGTCAACTCACTCATACTCACACTCTCCACTCACACCACACCCACACAAACCACTCAGCACTCACATTCTCCACCTCGCGCTCACACTCACATCACACTCACTTACACAGGAACACTCACCACTTACACTCACACTCACATACCGCTCTCTCACACTCACCGCTCACACAGTCTCTGCTGCTGCCGTTTCCTGTACTCTCTCACCTATTTGCCGCTGTCACGCCCATGACTGTCACCCCGTGAGCAGGCAGTGAAGGTGCTGAACATGGTGAAGGTGTTTGGGCGCCCCATGCGCGTGAACAAGGCCAGTCAGGACCGCCGCACTGTGGACGTCGGGGCCAACCTCTTCATCGGCAACCTGGACCCTGTGAGACTCAGATTCATCCCACGTGACTCGTGTAAACCATATAAGACTCGCATTGATCCTGTGAGACTTGGAGTGTCCTCGTCTTGAGTCACCCCCCGTCACTTACCCCTTCAACCACTTTCGTTGTTCCCCATATAACACAACCACTCCTGCTCGTGTTTCAATTTCCCCATACGCGCTCACAGCTCCCTCTGTTTCCATCTTCTCTTCTTCCACGGGTCCTACTCATGACTTACGCCTCATCTTCTTCACCCCCTCTCCCTCCACCAATCCATCCCTCCATCCATGCATGCGCGCGCAATCACAGGACGTGGATGAGAAGGTGTTATACGACACCTTCAGTGCCTTCGGTGTCATCGTCACCAACCCCAAGGTGCGCCTTCCATCCTCCCGACCTTTACGCATTCGCCTGACCTCATGTTGTGTTCACACTTCATGCGTGTCTGCTCTATCCCCCCCCTCCATGTGACTTCATGCCTTTCCCCGCTGCTTCATAGAGGCCTGATGCATCCGCTTTCCATAATGCCTTTCTCGCATGGCATGGCATGGTGTGAGGGCAGATAATGAGGGATACGGAGAGTGGCAACTCCAAGGGCTTCGGATTTATCAGCTACGACTCCTTTGAGGCGTCTGATGCTGCCATTGAGGTACCACTCGCATCGCATGCTGCCATCAAGGTGTTGCGTCTTGCTTGTCATTGCTCTGCTCAACGAAGTCTAAGATGGTCCAAGCCGATGAGTCTAATGCTCGACGTTCTCTGGTTGCTGCCGTGCGTGTGCATGCAGGCCATGAACGGGCAGTACCTGTGCAACCGAGCCATCTCTGTGTCCTATGCCTTCAAGAAGGACACTAAAGGGGAGAGACACGGCACCCCAGCAGGTGACTGCTCTCCTTGTGGCTGCTGATTGCTTTCCTTGTGCCAGCTGGTTGCCCTTTTGTGGGTACTCTGTATTCTATGAGAACTTCAAATGTTTGGTGGTAATGTATTCGCTCTTTCGATGGAAGGCCGGCTTCTATTGTGCTTTCGCACTCTCGATACCTTTCTCTTAACATCTTTCCCCATCTGTTTCCTTCCGTGCCCCTTGTCCCCTTCCTCTCTCCCCTCGTCAGAGCGACTGCTGGCAGCCAGCAACCCGTCCACCACGCGCCATCGCCCGCACACCATGTTCGCTGCAGCTCCCCCCTCCGCCCCCCCTCCCCCTCCCCCCTCCCGCCCGCCTCCACCTTCCATCCCCCCTGCTGCTGCCGCCCCTCCCCCTCCTCGCCCATACACCTCTCCTGCTCCCCCTGCGCCCTCACCAGCACCTTCCCCTTACCGCCCCCCTCCTCCCCCATCCTATGGCAGTGCGGGCGCGTCCCCTGCTCCCCCTTACTACCCCCCTCCCCAGATGCGCCCTCCACCTCCGTCCCAACAGTACCCCCCCCACCAGATGCCACCTCCTCCCCCTCAGCATTGGCAGCAGAACCAGCCCCCACCCCCTCCACAGCACTATGCTCCCCCGCCTCGCATGCCCCCTCCTCCTCCCCATGGAGCGCCAGGGGGGGGCTATCCTCCCCCGCCCCCCCAGGGGGGAGCACCAGGAAGGGGGTATCCGCCCCCTCCCCCCCATGGAGCACCAGGGGGAGGCTATCCCCCCCCTCCCCCTCAGGGCGGAGCACCAGGGGGGGGTTACCCTCCCCCTCCCCGCTACCCCACTCCTGGCGGCCCTCCCCCCTCCTATCCCCCACCTGGCCAGGGTTACTCCATGCCTCCTCCGCCCCCGCAACCCCACCAAGGGGGGTGGCGGCCGGGGCAGCCCCCCCCTCCCCCTGCACCTGGTGCAGGGGGAGCAGGTGGGGGTGGGCCAGGGCCGAGCGCTGCTGTGCCTCCTCCGCCCCGGGCACCCATGGGGGGAGCTCCTCCCGGGGGCAGTGTGCTTGGGGCTGCTCCAGGGACGTAATCGTGATAGATGGTGTAAGGTAACAATCTATGGGGATTGTTCTCGGTGGCTTGGTTTGGTGATGGAATCCATAGAACGTGATTGATTTGAACTGAAGTTTCTGCTTGTGTTTTTTATTAGCAGGTGCTACAAAGCTCCATTTGTGTTGCATTGCAAGTGAATCTGTCTATACCATGCCTGGGAGCTTGGATGTTGCTGTATGCACACATTAGCAGTTTCTTTGGAGTGCCCTACAGTTCTAGATTCGAGTACACAAGATGCCCAACCCCTGCACGCGAAATTGCCTCGCACGTTCCAGAAACCTTGCACACGAAGGTTTTTTCCCGGGCAGTTGCACCCACGTTACAAGCACGTCAACCAATACGAACCACAGAAACAGAAGAGACCGAAGTCAAACAGTCAACGGTGAGTTACAAAATTTTGCTATAAGCCCTTTTTGCCCGAAGCGAATTGACGAAACCTCCACGAAATGCATGAATCACTTAAGCGCCCCCTTCACAAGGCAACCTTGGGTTAGTCAAACGGACATCGTGTGTATCTTCTCGAATCACAATGCACTTTTCTCGTTGAAGAGAATCCCAAGAAAATCTGATGTCTACCGAATGAAACGTCGCACCAGCTGTCGGTGCGAACTTCGTTGGCTCGCGACAAGGTTGTCCCGACGAGGCTCATGGTTTTGGTAACTGAAAAGGATTGGGCGAGTTGTTGAGGTGGGGTGACATGGTCCCACAGTTGTTCGCCGGAAGATTCAACTGGTGCTGGGAAACGTGAACGACACTAGTATGGCTGGTTACGATCGCTTTAGCGGACTCGCAGATTTCGCTAAAGTAACCTCCACGCAACACCGCTCGATGTTTCCGCCTGCTGCTCTCCTCCCCGCATCCACAAGCTCACCATGCAGCCGCCATGCCCACCCCAGTCGGCACGTGAGTCCACAGTAGTAACTGCCTCCATGAATCTGCCTTCTGCTCTCCCCATCTACGGTTAGCCCGATTGCGCGGCGCGACCGCACGATTTACGAAGACCACCATGAAGCCGATCTTTTTGTGCTCGTGTTATCAGTATGTTGTTTCCCACCATCCCACTTCCATCACTAGCCTTCATGCAGTCTCCACAGTCAGCCAACCTCTTGCTTCTCAGCGTCGTGAATCTCGATTCAGCCGTCCCTGCGTGCTCTTCCTCTCAGCATCACCGAATCGCCGTCCATGGCCCACGTTCAGTGCCTTCCCGTCTCCGTCCCACCCTCGCGAATACCGCATTCCGCCACGTGTCCTCCGGAGATGACGTATTCTTCAGACCTAGATTCGTCGGAGTTTGTTCCCCCTGAGTTCGTGTGTCCGCTGTCGCGCGCCATCATGCGCGACCCGGTCATCGCGCCCTCCGGCCAGTCGTACGACCGCGCAAGCCTTGACCACTTCCGCGCGCGCGGCGGCATCTTCTGCCCCAAGACGGGGGCGTTGCTTGCGGACTGCGCGGTCATCCCCAACGACGCGCTCCGCCAGCTCATCGCCGCCTGGTGTTTCTCTCACGCCACGCGCGTCCCTCCCCCTGTCTCTCCCCCTCCTCTTTTCTCCGCGTCGCCCCTCGGCGCCTCTCCCGCCGCCCTCCCTGCGCGCTCCGCGCCAGTCGTCATCAACGGGCTCGCCTCTCCCCCGCGCTGCGCGCCGTCCTCGCCGCTGCGGTCGCCCCTGTCTTTGCTCCAGCGCCGCCATTCTTTCCAGCCAAACCGCAGCGCCTCCGCGTGCAGGGGACACGGTGACGAACCGCCAGCGTTAGACGCGGCGAGCATGGCGATTCCGCGGCACGTGGTGAACGCGGGCAGCAGCGGCAGGTCGCTGTGTCGCACCATCTCGCCGCTCTCCGAGACCGCGTCGCTTGACTGGGCCGCCGCCGGCAGCGCCGCCAGCAGCCCCTCCACGCCCCTCCGCGCCTCCCACCAACGCCACAACCACCAGCTCGCCGCCACGTCACAGGACGACACACATGACGTGGCGTTCAGCTCGTACCTCTCTGCCAGCGCGTCGTTCTCCCGCCTGCAGCCGTCGAATCCCAACTCGCCACAAGGCAGTCGCCGCCGCAGCAAGGACACGCCCGTGCGAGATATGCGGCCATTCGTGGACGCACTGCAGGATGCTGACGTGGCAGTGAAGCGGGTCGCCGCGGAGGCGATCCACGTGGCAGTGAAGGAGGCGGAGGAGAACCGCACACGTGTAGTGCAGGCGGGCGGCGTGGCGCCGCTGCTGGCTGCAGCGCGGTGCGAGGATCAGGGCACGGCACAGCGCGCATGCGCTGCCCTGCTGTACGTGTCACTGGCACGCGAGGGGGCGAGGGAGGTGGTAGCACGTGGAGGTATTCCCGTGCTCGTAGACATTCTGCGACCAGGAAGGGAAGCGGGCACGCAGGGAGAGGCGGCTGAAGCCACCAAGGCGAACGCAGCTGCGGCGCTCTTCACTCTGTCGTCCACCAAGGAGGAGCGCAAGCGCCTTGTGTGGTCTGCTGGGGCCGTGCCGCACCTGGTGCACCTGGTGCAGACGGCACACACGCCCCGTGCGCTCAAGGACGGGTGCCTGGCGCTGTACGGGCTGGTGGGGTTGCAGCAGGCGGCAGAGCAGGCAGTGGCGCTGGGAGTGGTGGCACTGGTGGTGGGTCTGCTGGAGAGGCATGGCGAGGGCGTGGAGGAGAAGGCGGCGTCACTGCTGGCCGTGCTGGCTCGCTGCGAGGTCGGTGTGGCAGCCATCGTGAACGATGAGGATGCGCTGCCTGCACTTGTGGATGTGATGGAAGGCAGCTCACAGCATGCTGCTGACAAGGCAGCATGCACGCTGCTGGCCATGGCACGGCATGGTGGGGATGCCATGGCTCGGAGAATAATGGCCGAGGGGTGCCTGCCTCCGCTGGCCAAGCTCGCAGCGAAGAGTCAGACAAGCTCTGATTCCCGCGCGCTGTTGGACATTCTTAGGAACTTGGGGCAATGCAAGAAGTAGATAGTTCTGAATGTAGACACATATGGGCTTGTACATTTTGTAGAGGTGCAATATTGATTACTCTAGTAGACTGGTACATTTTTTGTTCCTCTGCGCTCAGCACTGGCACTCATTTCTGGTACCTATTCGTTGACCATTTGGACAATAAAGGAGGAGGGGAACTGTACGCCATGGTATATTGTCAGGATGGTTGGTGTTCTCACTCTCCAAACACATGATTTAGTTGTGTGGCATACTAACAATAACCCATTATTGCACAAACTTCAAGCGTTTGCGAGGCTCGTCAGATTTCGCTGCTGTGTGTTTCTCTCGCGTAATTCCTCGCAACGATGCTTTCTCAAATGTTTGTCTCGCAAGGTCGGGTTACCCGTCGTCCGGTTTTGAGCAGCATCCGCCGCCCTCCGTACCATCCTCGCATGCTCCTGCCCTCCACCTCGAGACCTTCCCGCAAACACCGAGGCAGTTGACCTAACCTAATCTACCCTCCACACACCTGTGTCTTACCTTCCTAACTGACATCTTTAGACAAGCGATCGTTAGGTCAAGACTGCGTCGTACATTACGTTTTTTTGTATTTATTGCCTCGCAACGACATTAGTTCGCGCTTTCTTGCGTTTCAACTCTAAACCACGACTACTTCCAAGTTCGGCACAGCAGGCGATCCCGGCGCGCATGTCGCCGCTCGATCATGCCGTCTTTCCAACGAGCCGTTGCCCTCTGCGCGCAGCCAGGTAACGCCGCCAGCGATGCCCAACGCGCAGTACCGCCTGAGGCACCCGACGCGCTACGGCAAGCAGCCGGCGGTGCCGGCGGAGTTTGTGTGTCCGCTGTCGCTGCAGCTGCTCACCGACCCGGTCATCACGGCGTCGGGCCTCACCTTCGAACGCGCCGTCATCCAGAAATGGTACCGCGACGGCAACCGCATATGCCCCGTTACTGGATCGCGACTAGACCACTATCGGCTGTTTCCGAACCAGGCGGTTCGGCAGCTAATCGCGCAGTGGTGCGACGCGAATGCCGTGCCGTACGCGCCGGGCGTGCTGTGCGTGCGCGTGGACCTGCAGGGGCAGCAGGGGACGGGTAGCTTTAGGGAGGGCTCTTCCCACTCGCGCCACGGCGGTCAGTCCTCAGCAGCCTCGGGCAATGGTAGCGTTGGGCGGCAGCCGCTCGCGAACGGCGTGTATCAGCAGCAGCAACAGCAGCAACAGCAGCAGCAGCAACAGCAGCAGCAGTCTCGGTTGCAGCAGCAGCAGCAGCAGCAGCAACTTCGCCAATTCCGCGCGCAAGAAGCGGAGCTGCTCTCTCCGCGTAGCGGGCGCGATAGCAATCACAGCTCCCCGGGCGCACACTCCGCGTGTGCTGGTCTCCCTCCCCCAGGTCCTTCCTCCAACCAGTCGCAGCGCCCCATCACTCCCCCTGGCACTCCGCCCAAAAGCCCCCGCGGTGCAGCCCCTTTCTCCTCGCAAGCGCGTACTCTCCCCGGCGCCTTTCAGCGCCCGCGGACTCCGCCTTCGGGGGCGGAAGAGCGCCCTTTCTCCCCTGCTGGCGGGGATAGTGCTCCGCGCAACCCCCCTTCCGCTTCCCTTGCCGTTTCAAGATCGGTCTCGGGCGGGGGATCCGTGCAGCGCATCCCGTCGGGGAATGGCGCACAGGCGGTGCGGGGCTCCCCTGCTGGCGGAATGGTTCCGCGCACAGCCTCAGGGGGTGGGGCGGTTCTGCGAGTGGTGTTGGGCGGGGGGGTACCGCGGGTTTCCTCCGCCGAAAGCCCCCGCGCGCGCGTTTCCTCAGCGGAGCGGATAGGCTCCAGTCCCCTGTCAGGGGACGAGCTGGGGGGAGCAGGCGCGCGGAGACAAGCAGGCGGGCCCCCCAATGGCGCAGGGCCTCCCCAGCCGCGGCAGGGGGCGGGGCCGAGACATAGGGGGAGCCAGTCGCAGGTGCTGCGGGCGCTGGGGCAGGAGGGCGCGGGGGATAGCAACTCTTCGGGTCTTGCGCGCTCGCACTCGCTGCAACCCAAGGCAGACGATATCGAATCGCTCCTTAACGCGTTAGAGGACGACGAATCAGACGGCTACGAATCGGGCCAGTCCGATGCGCTCTGGCGCTCCAACGAGCCGCTCCCCGTACCCCGCGTCGCCAGCCTCGGGGGAAGGGGGGCTGCGCGGGGACCTGGCGCGGGGAGAGGGGGGACAGGAGCGGGAAGGGGAGGTCGGGGAGGGAGAGGGGCGATGGCGGACAGTGTAGGGCGGTCGGACAGCTTAGAGCGCGGCATGATGCGCGCGAAGCAGCAGGGCCACGCGGGCGTGCACGCGGACGGGTCGCTCCGGCTGCTCAACGGCCGCAACGGCATTCCCTCGGGAAAGCGATCCGCGCAGGGGGGTGGCGGCGGTGGGGGCGAGGGGGGGAAGACGGAGAGCGGGCTGCGGCGCACGTCGTCGCTGCAGTCGCAGGGGCTGCTGTCGGCGAGTCTGGGCAGCCTGGGCCTCGACGCCACGCGCGACTCCTTCCGCGGCGCCGTCGAGGACCTCGTGCCGCGCAGACCCGCGGGCGCGGGGGCGCGGGGGGAGGTCGCGCAGTCGCGGTTCGCGGGGGAGAGTGGCGGGGAGTCGTCGTCGGAGCGGGAGGCGCGGAGGGGCGCGCCCGGGCGGCCGGGGGGCGGCATTCCGCCCGGCGCGCGGCTGCTGGCGGCGGGGCGCGCGAGCCAGTCGTTCCGCGACCGCGCGAGCAGCGACGGCAGCGACAGCGAGCTCAAGGCGGCGCTGCTCGGCGCCATCCGCAGCACCAGCGCCGGCAGCCCCGCCGACGCGCCCATGGCGGCTGGCGGGGGAGGCGCGGGGGGAGGGGGAGGGGGAGGAGGAGGGGGAGGCGGAGCAGGGGGTGCGGTGGCGAGCGGGCGGGCGAACGCGCTGCGCAACATGGGCGCGGCGGGCATGCGGTCGGCGTCGTTCCGCATGGGGCGAGAGCTCTCCATTGACGTCAGCAGAGGCCCCGCTGCCACGGCGGGCGCGGGGGGGGGAGCTGGAGCGGGAGGGGGAGGCCCGAGGCTGACGTTATCAGGCAGCCTGCGCAGCCCCGTGGGGTCGTCGTCCATGCGCGCGTCGCGCGACGGCGCCATGGGCGCCAGGGCCGCCGCCATTGACGCCGCCCTGCGCGCCGCTGCTCTGCCGCGTAGCCCTGCTGGGCGCTCCTCGTCGTCACTTCCGCCCATCCGCGACAGCAGCAGCAGCAGCGCAGCATCAGGGGAGTTGGGATGGGGCGCGCCTGGGGTTCCGCGCAGCCCGGGAAGAGCAGCGCCCGCGGGCGCCATGGAGGCGCCCATTCCGCGTGCGGGTAGCCGGGAGGCCGCCATGCAGCACAGTGGTCCGCCTTTAGGGGATAGCCCCGCCAACGGCCACACTGCCCCCGCGCCCTCTGCGCGCCATCCCCCTCCGCCGCTCGCCCTGCGCCGCGACCTATCCATGGACACGTGGGCGCTCGCCTCGCACCTCCCCGCGTCCGCGCCCTCCACCTCCGCAGCCCCCGCCCCCGCGCCCCACTCCCCCATCCACTCGTCCGGGCCCCTCTCCCCCATGCACGCATCGGGCCCGCCCTCCCCCCGCCTCTCCTCCACACCCCTCTCCCCGCGCGCCTCTACGGGTCCGCGCAGCCCCGTGGGCGCGGGCGCGCGGGGCTTGGGAGGCCCGGGGGGGCCGGCGCGGTGGCGGCGGGACAGCAGCGTGGAGAGCAGCGGAGATGGGGGCAGCGGCAGCGAGGGGCGCGACCAGGGAGCGGGAATGGGCGGCGGGGGCGGGGGCGCGGGGGGGAGGAGTCCGCCAATGCTGCAGCGCAGCCTGGGGCGGCGGGTGGCGGAGGAGGGCGCGCTGCTGCGCTCAGGGTCCATCCAATCCGTGCAATCCGTGGGGCATGCGGGCGCAGGGGGGCAGCACAGGCCCGCGCAGGGGCAGGGGCAGGCGCATGAGGGCATGGGCGCGAGTGACACAGACGACCCGTTCCTCTCCGCCCTCTCCAGCGTTAGGCGCGAGCAGCAGCTGTGGGGCGAGGGGGGGATGAGCGGGGGCGAGGAGGGGGGCGGAGGGGGGCAGATGGGCGCGGCAAGGGCGAGGGGCCAGCAGAGGGGGGCGTTGAGCTTGGCGCAGTCAGAGGGGGAGGGGCGCGGGGGGAGCGACTGGGAGAGTGACGGGTCGTCTGTGCGGCACAGGAGGGCAGCGGGGGCAGGGGCAGGAGGGTCGCGGCTAGGCAACAGGGAAGGGGGGGGAGCAGCAGGGGCGGGCACGGGTTCAGGGCGGAACCTGGGAGGGGCGGGGCAGGGGAGGCGGCAGCTGCAGCGGGGGTCGTCACAGACGGACAATCGCGGGCTGGGCCGGGCGGCACACAGGGCACTGCACACCACCGCTCTCGACCCCACTGGACCGCCCTCAGGCATGCCCCTTCCGGGCGGCGCACAGGGGCTGCGGCGCGCGTCCTCATTGGCTGTGGTGGGCGGCAGCGGGCGGCAGCAGGGCATGGAGGGGATGGATGGTTCAGAGGGGTTCCACGAGGTGGTGAGGGAGATGAAAGCAGAGGGGGGGCGGGTGGGCGGAGGGGTGCGGCGCGGGGGGATTGAAGCAGCAGGGGCGGAGCTGTCAGCGTCGCACCGCAGAGTGGCGTCGCTGGCAGTGCAGAGCAGCAGCAGCAGCAGCAGCAGCATTGCCGTGGGTGGCCCCATGGGCAGCTCAGGTGAGGGCCGTGCCGTGTCCCGGCGCCTGAGCGGCGGCAGCAATGGCGGGCTGTCGTGTGGGCGCTCCGATTACTCCCTGCCACCTGATGCGTCCGCGCTGCTGGATGAGCTTGATGGCTCGGATGGCAGTGAGCAGGGGGATGTGGGGGATGTGGGGGATGTGGGCGGTATGGGGGACCGGCGGGTGCATGGGCATGGGGGGTACGAGGCCATGCAGGGGAATGGTGGCAGTGGGGGACACATGCCGCAGCACCAACTGCAGCAGCATGCGCAGCAGCAGCAGCAGCAGCAGCAGCAGCAACAGGGGCATGGGCAGGGGCATGGGCATGAGCATGGGGAGGAGGTACCACAGCCACGGGTAGGCAGGGTGGGCGGAACCTTTGCATGGCTGCGAGAGGCCCTCCGCAGCCCCCTCAAGAGCCCCAAACCCGCTGCCCCCGCCCCCACCGCACAACACTCCTCCCAATCCATCCCCTTGAGCCCCCGCTCCGCCCAACCCCCCCTGCCCGCGTGGGGCGCGGGCGCGCGCCCGGCCACGCCCCCCCAGGGCGCAGCATACGGCAAGAGCGCCACTGTGCCCGCGCCTGAGCGCCGCAGCCTGTGGGGGGAGGCCAGGCGCGCTGTGGGGCTGGGGGAGGGCGGAGGGGGCAACGGGGGGAAGGCGGAGGAGGTGTACCGACGGTCGTCGTCCGATCATGGGGGGCAGGACGCGGTAGCCGCCATGCAGTGGGCGCAGGGCGAGCGGGGGGAGCGGGGGGAGGAGCCTGAGGGGAGGGGGGATGGGGGGCGCAGTGGAGGGAGTGGGAGAGGCGGGCAGGGGGTGCAGGGGCCGCAGGGAAGGGGGATGGCGGTGGGGGGAAGGGAGGTGGGAGAGGGGAGGAGTGGGAGTCAGGGCAGCAGTGCGCACGAGGGGATGAGAGATGGGGGAGGGGGAGCAGGTGGACGGGGGTTGGGGGGAGGCGCAGGAAGAGGAGGGGGGCGAGGGGGGGAGGGGTCTACAGAGGGGGGAGGAGGGGGGGGGGGCGGGGGAGGGGATGGGCCAAGGTGCGAGCCGTGTTCCCCCTGCATGGGAAGGGCGCAGGGCGGGGGGTGGGGGGGAGAGGGCCAGGCAGAGGAATGGGTGACGGGGGAAGAGGAGGAGGGGGGAGAGGAGACGGGGGAAGAGGAACTGGAGCGAGAGGAGGGGCAGGAGCAGGGCCGGGGGTGAGACAAGGGGGAGCAGGGGGGGCGGGAGTGGGCAGAGAGGGCGGGGACTCGGGTCGGATGTCGCAGTCCTTGGAGCGCACGTCATCTCTCTCCTCCAACCACCACGCCGCTGCCGCACCCGACTCTCACAGGGACACCGATGCCTCCTCAGCCCACCCCCTCTCCCCGCTGGCAGCAGCAGCAGCGGCGTCACCCCCGGACATGGTGACGTTGGTGCGGGCGGTGGCGCACGGGGGGGAGGCGGATCGCATGGAGGCAGTGGCGGCCATCAGGGCGCTCGTCAAGGGCAGCCGCGACAACAAGGCTCGCCTCATTGCCGCGGGGGGAGTGCCGGCACTCGTGCGTGTGCTGCGCCATGCCCACCCCGCCATCAAGGAGCATGCGGTTACCGCCATCCTGAACCTCTCCCTCGTGCCCGGTGCACCCGCCATCATCGCCTCAGTGGGGGGGATAGACGCCGTGGCGGGTGTGCTGCAGTCAGGGTCACAGGTGGCACGGGAGAACGCCGCAGCAGCGCTCTTCGCCCTCTCAGTGGATGACGGCAACCAGTGTCTGGTGCGGCGCGCAGGGGCGGTACTGCCGCTGGTGGACGTGCTGCGGTCGGGCAGCACGCGCGGGCGCAAGGACGCGGCTCTGGTGCTCTTCAACCTGTCGCGCGACCAGCGCAGCCGCGCTGAGATCGTGGCGGCGGGCGCGGTGGGCGTGCTGGTGGGCATGCTGGGCAGCGAGGAGGGCGGGCTGGAGGAGAAGGCCATGGCCGTGCTCGCCAACCTCTGCCGCATGCCCGAGGGGTGCGATGATGTGCTCGACCTGCCCGGGGCCATACCGACGCTGGTGCGTGTGGTGGCGCACGGGTCACAGCGTGCCAAGGAGGACGCGGTGATGACGCTGCTGATGCTGGCGAATAGCGAGCCGGCGAGCTGCCATGCCATGCTGGCGGAGAGCATGGTGCCGGCGCTGCAGCAGGTGGCGCAGACGGGGTCGCAGCGGTCAAAAGGCAAGGCCAGGGCGCTGCTGGACCTGCTCAGGAGCCAGGCGCAGAGGGGGCGAGGGGGCGCAGACAGGTGATTAGGGGCAGTGCCTCCTACTACCACCTGCTATGGGATGGAGGCGGTGGGGGAGGGGGATTGGGGGAGAAGGTTGGGGTTTGGGGGCTGGGTATGGGTGTAAGTAGGGGGGTGTGAGGCGAAGAAGAGCGTCAATGGTGAAAATGGAAGGGTGGCAGCAGATGTGAGAGATTATAAAGATGGGTGTTAGCTGCCAGAAGGATGCCTTGACCCGCTAACATGAGCACCACTTTACAGCTCTAATAAGCCCCTGTGTGGGTCCGTGTATGGCATGAGGTGGGCATCAACCCACGCATCCATCACTGGCTCCAGCTGCTGTACATGCACTGCCTGTAGTGAAAGTTCTTATCGTAGGCCAGGAATAGACTGTTACCACTAATTTGGTAGTGCGTTAATTACACGTTACCGTAATTGGTATTCATGAGCATCAACTTGTAGGCTTCCTTGATTTCCATAATCCATTATTGCTGTGCTTGGAGATAAACATTGCAGCAATAGTCATACCGTACGTAACCGGTGAACAATGGATTAGGGCATTAAATCTTAGTTGTACCATAAGTGCATTACGTTATGCCCCATGTTTTCGTATGGTACATTCATAAATCACTGCACACGTGGTTACACATGAGCCATCCTTGTCCTCACGCGTTTTTTCACGCGTGTTTCGCTGTGTGACACAAGAATTGCTGCTTTACACATCCAGCTTGCGTTGTAATCTGAGCTAAGGACAATCCAGCCCCCTCTCGCGAGCTGACGACGCTGACTACAGTACTTCCAGAAGCTCCCTTTTCCCTGATGGCGTCGCTTTTCGTTGTGATGTACAGCTGCAATGGCGTTCACGCTCTGGGCTTAGGGGGCATGGCACGCGAATTTTCGGTGCGGTGCGATGGTGTGTGGGGTAAAACGGCGCGTAAAAGCTAAACAAAGGTTGGGTACGGTTTCTAGCATGGAAACGAATTCAATGACGTTCCCTCCTGTCGAGGGAATGAAGCGCCAACGCAACAACGGTGACGAATATTTGGTGATGATTCATCTCAGTTGGTGTGATTGACTTACGCAGGTTTAACATTACGGTACGTACGGTGGAGTCCCCCCGTACACCCTTGATTATGGGCGCACATTCTCAAATCCTCCAACCACGCCTCTCGGGGATGTGCTTGCCTGGCCGCCAATCTCAACCAAATCAGCCCGTCAGCCTTACAGCTCATGTGGAGGAACTTTAAGTTTGTATACCCTACAATTACGATTCTTAGTCAAGTAATTAACCCTTCTCTCCTAACCATCGACGGAAGTTGGGCCACACTTTGACAGCTGGAATATGAACTGTTCAAATGAACGTGAATGAGGCAGATGCTGCAGATCCATCGCTCGTGTCTTTCTGTACAGATTCAGTATATCTTCCAATCAGGAAAAAGGCCACTAATTTCGGACTACAGATGTGAGGGGCAGAAGTGTTTGAAGTGTACAGCTTTGAACCTTCATGCCAAAACAGGAAACAGCCAATGATCTCAGTTCACACGAGGGCATTTAGTAGTTGTATTTTGTTTTCGACTGTCCAGCTCAGGTAGGACGGGTCCCTTCGGAAAACAAAAGTTCCGAATGCTGCCACAAGCACGCACTGTTTCCCCCGTAGCTGAGTGCATGTGTGCTCACTGTTACTCCCCTCCCCTGCATGATGCGCGGAACAGTGTTAGGACCGCGCACATGGCGGTTGACAGGAAACTATGGCCTCATCTATGCCTCCACCTCTCGCAATTCGTCTGCAACAGCAACCCCAAGCCAGTGGGGGCCCGCTTTCTCCGCTTTCTGTCCAGGGCCGTTGTGTCCCCCACCGGAAGGTTTGGAGGCATGTAAAGAAGCCTTGGCTTGAAGTTTCCCCCAATTCGACAGACAAACATGACCCTTCAAACCAATTCAACCTTCAGCAGCACTACGTTTTATTGCCCTGGGTGTCTCTCCATGGTATTATTTTGAGCTACGCTAAATGGCCCAGCTTCAAGGTTCTTCGTGTCAGTCAGTCAGTGTTGGCGGTGCTCTCTCCCCTTCGTCGCTGCTCAAGACTAGCTCTCTGCCCGTGCTTCCCTCCAACGTCGTTCTCCATCCCGCCGCTCCCAGTACGGACTCATCGCTCGTCTCCACGCGCTGCGACTGCACCATCCACCCCGCCTCCTCGTCTCTCAACCCCATTGCCGCCATTTCCTCTCCCTCCCGCCTCCAGCGCCGTCTCTACTATTGGGATGCCGCGTGTCATGGCAGCAGTCCCCGCCGGCCCGCTCTCGTGCGCACGCAGTCGTGCGCGACGCCGTCAGTCGCCGTCGAGCTCGCTTGCGAGCATTCGTGCACGTCGTCGCCGTCGTGCCGCCGGACGCTCTCCTGCCCGCAGTGGGCTACTCGTAGCGCACCACGCGGAGCCGCGGCAGAGCCTGCTGCTGTAACGACGCGAGCCTGCGAGTCGCAAGCGCCTCCCGTTGCTTCCAACGCGGCTCGTATGCGCGTGGCTCGAGAGGAGATCAACTCTAGAGCGCCGTCGGCGTCGTCGACTCGCCACGGGCCCCCTTGCGTGGACGTGCGTCGCGCCGATGAGTCCGTGTTTCACTGGGCCGCGCGCACGCGGATTCAGCGGGCGCAAGCCGCACTCGCCGACTGAACTGTCTATTATCAGCCGCATTACCGTGGCGCTTCCCGTCGCCGCCCCAACGACCACCTTTTCCGCCACGCCAACGTGGACCCTTGCCGCGATCCGTGCGGTCTTTTTCCACAACCCAGCTCTCCGTTGCACCGTCGTGCATCGGATCAGCCTTGGCCTCGGTTTTGCCATCTCAAGGGATTGGTTTTACCCGCTTGCGCGTTGATGTGCGCGAAATGCGGTTGTGAAGCAACATGGAAGACAGCAAGCATGCCAACTCAGCGTCGTCAATTTGCCATGCCATGCCGCCTGGCCATCTCTTCTCGGATTGAATCTTCCGGGCCAAGCTCCGGCTCCAAGATTTTGTTGCGGCACTACTTCCCGCAAAGTGTGCCGTTGATGTTGGAAAATGTAACTTTGGAATTATTATATCTACTAAGTGTACCTACTAAGCAGTTGACCAAATTTATAATGTCATCCATATCATAATCACTGATGTTACTGCAAATATGTTGCACGAACTGGTGCTACAACGGAGAAAAGTTGTTTGACAAGCAGATCAGTGAGCGTGCTGATTCGGCCATGGCGCTTCAGGATCATGTCTGTCCTCTGCTAATGCCATTCTCTGTTGGCTTTCATCGCCTCACACAAGCTGCTGCTGAGTATGTATTGCCTTTCTCGTCCTTCCCACAACGCGCCGTCTCATCTGTAGTGTGAGCCTGAGGCCGCGACTGCAGTGAGTAGGGGAATGATGGAGGCGACCACCGGCGGTGGAATGGGCAAAGCCTCTGAAAGCGAAGCAGTTGATGGTTCAAAAGCCCCCGCATTCCTCCCCAAACCCTTGCGGACTTATTTTTGACGATTTGGTCCAGGTTGTGGGCGCGGATGCTCTCTTTCCGTCCCGCCACCAGCACGGTGGCGCCAGCGAGCAAAGCGAGGTGCTGCATCGCGGCTTCCGTAGCTCCACGTCCAACCCCAACGCGCAGGTACACGACGCCTCAACCCCTGCGAGCATTCACACGTGAAATCGTCTTAAGTGCAGCTGGATCTCGCAGACTCCACGGCCGTCACGCACTGACGCGCCTGTTCCGCGCATGCTGTCACGCGGCAGTCGCTGTCGCGACTCTCATCGAGTCGCCTCTTGCGCCACCATCTCCGCCTCCCGCACGTTGCGCGTCGCCGTGTCTGGAATACGGCGGGCGGTCCTTGAGACTTGGTCGCGACACCATGAAAGACTCGCGCGCACCTGCGTTGCTCGCCCGGACCCCCAAACTACAACTCAGACCTTCCGGACCGTTCGTGCCAGCTGATGAGAACGACAAACTGTGAGAGTGGCGCGCGACACCAGGGCTGGAGTGGCGGCGGATGAAAGCGGCCGGGCTGGGGGAGGAGCCTCGGCTGGGCCCGCGATGCGACTTGGAGCGCGGGAACCGCGGACGCGGCACTGCGGCGGCTGGACTGGCAGTGGCGCTGTGGGAGTGCGAGCGGGCGAACCTCGCTGGCTCATCGTAAAACCGCAGCTCCTGCGCCAGCTGCGCGCTCTCCGCCCTCGACAGATCCAGCGACGCGCGACGCGCCCGCACGGAGGGAGGGCGGCGTGCGAGTCGGTCGGGTTGGGTGGGGGTTTGGGATTGGAAAGCGGATTCGAGTTGGTCGATGAACGTCTGGCAGCGGAGGGCGCTAAGCTCTCGCTGCGCGTGCAGCAGCTCAAGCTTGCTCTCCAGCGAGCGCATCCCCACGTCGTCCCAACGGCTCTGGCCTAGCCGGGACGGCGACTCGACTCCGGACGGCGAAAGCGACGGGTGCGGGACGGATGGGCCGTAGGAGACTGTGACGGCCCCGTCGAAGGAGGAGCTGCGAGGGCACATGATCATGGCTGGCCACTCTTTCGATTCTTCGAAGTGCTAGATCGCTAGCTGAATTCGGAAATGCAATGCGTTAACTACGTCTGACCCAGAAAAGGACTTAGTAAGGACTTAGTAGTAAAACTAAAGAAGGAGCCTGGAAGTTGAAAAGCCAGCGTATCTGATCCTGGAAAATGCACTTGAAGTAGCAGCAGGGATAATCGCTCGCTAGAATCTAGATACGTCGGAGCTGGCGACGATTGATTCAAAAAGCTGGTGGTTCCTAAAACTGTGTCTGGTCTTGTGGTGTCGAGAGGACAAGCCGCATGGAAGCATGCGAGGTGGGCCAGAGGGATCAGTTGCACATTTTATGATCCACATCACGCGGCATGCGATTCGAGTCTGAGCGTGTCACGTGCTCGCTGGGTTGGTTGGGTGACGGAACCGCCAGAGGAGGCTAGGGCTGGTCACCCTAGCAGATCCTATTGGCCAAAAAACTAAGATCAGGCTTGGTCAAAGCCTAGCCAGCCCTGGGCAAGACCCGAGTCACCATTTCCACCCTGGGCACTCAGGCTTCGGTCGTCTGGGATTTGGACGTACCGCAATTTCCAAGACCGAGCGAAAAACGCGAAGTGAACTCTCATTATTGAGCTGGCCGACCAGACAGACTGGCGTCTGTCGTTTTTACCGGAGCCTACAGCTGGCTTTTCAGATGCCTTCTGGAAGATTGCAACCAGAGTGCACAGATTGACCTCGAAAGGACGGAACTTTTTTTCAGAGCGGACATTCATCAAGATTAGCAAGCTGTAAGCAGGGGACTAGGCATTAAAATCGAGAACCAAGAGAGGCTCCCAGCGTTTCGGATTTAAAAGACTCGTTCACTATTCTCGGTATATTTTGGATAACTTGGGGAAGCCAGGGTGACCAGGTCAGGTGTGAGGTGCCTGCATGGCAACCGCTAAAGGTCGCTTCTGGAAACAATCACCAACGACTTCACGTGGGTCACACCCTGAGCTACACTACACTTGCGCAGACTGTAGGACGTAAAGTCAGTCAACCTCCCTCAATATAATCACGTTGGCGAGTTCATGCATTCAGAGACCAGTACTGTAATGCAAACTTGTAGAGGCGCATGAAATTGGGTACAACAGCATGCCGTTTTTCAACATTCAGAATCATGAATCTTCATTTAGATCTCAACATGATCTCACCTATTCACACGTTTCAAAATTTGGAAGAGACACTACATATCCCTCTGAACTAAGTCATCTAACACTGTGGTATGGGATCTGACAACCATTACAAAATGATATTCACAGGGTTACGCTATAATACACAGAAACTGCAACAGCGTACATCAAATGTTATTGTGTCAGCCCGAGAACCCACGCCTGGTGTTTGTTGTTGGCAGCACACATCCTGTAGAATGCATGGTGGTGGGTAAGCCTCTGTGCTTCTCCTCCATGTGCCCTTGTGCCTCCTCTACCTTTCCACTGCTCATTACTGTCCCTTTATTCATGTCACTACCACCACCTCCTCCTGTTGCTGCTGCTGCTGTTTCTGTTGCTGCTGATGCATTTTTTCTTGCTGCTGTTGCTGTTGCTGTCCCTCCTGCTGCTGTTGTTGCTGTTGTTGTTGTTGTTGCTGCTGCTGCTGCTGTTGCTGCTGCTGCTGCTGCTGCTGCTGTTGCTGCTGTTGCTGCTCCTGTTGCTGCTACTGTAGTTGCTGCAGGGGAATCGGGTGGCAGAGGTTGCGGCACTGCGAGTGGCGGCTGTGGTGGGGCTGGCAGGGCAGCGGCAGCGGCGTCTGGATGCCACACCAGGTCCTTGGCCCGTGCAACCAGACTGCGATAGAACTGCACAGTGGTGTGCGAAAGGAACAGGCAGCACACATAGCATTCACACACACACACCCACACACCCCCACAGCCACCCACCAACACACAGCACAGAAGCACGCTTCCAGTATACTCATCGGCTGCCCGCTCATGCTCTCTTGCTGCGAAGGACCCAGCTGGCGGAGAGGCAGAAAGGTGCGGCGAGTGGCGGGCATGCAGTGGAGTGGTGGGCGGGCATGCAGTGGAGTGGTGGGCGGGCATGAGTGACATGGCAGCAGGCACCACACACTGCACTGTGCCTACCCCCAGACTTACCTGCTGCACACGCTCAACCTACCCTGTAAGCTTCATAGGGGGAGGAGGAGCGAGGGGGCGAGGAGTAGCCTACTGACAAACCTTGTGGTAGTGGAGGGCGAGGCGGGACGAGGAGGGGCGAAAAGGTGGGTGGGGCGACCTTGTGTTACTCGAGGGCTTAGGATAGAGGGAGACAGAGAAGGGAGAATGGGATTGGGACAGTTGTGGTATTCGAGGGTAGGGAATAGAGGGGGAGTGAGGGAAGGGATCGAAGGGATAGAAGGGGCAGACCTTGTGGTACTCGAGCGTGTCGCCAGCAGCCTTGCGTGCTTCCACCATAAACACCCCTGCTGTCATCTCAAATATCTGCACCACACCGCACCGCACCGCAACGACAGACAAGCCATGGGTCATTTTGCGAGTGGTGCGAGGGTTGCGAGGGGTGCAGAGACAGGCGCACATACTACAAGGGAAAGGAGCAGTTGCTCCGTGCTGCAGCCCCATGCTCTCAAGCAAGGTACACATGGCAAGGGAGACACATACTGCCACGGATGGGAGTGGATGGGCGTGCATGGGAGTGCATGGGAGTGCATGGAAATGCATTGGCGAGCATGGGCGGGCATGGGTATGAGCACGGTACCTGAATGACGACGGTGAGATGCCCCCCTTGCGCTGTTGCTGGTCGCTCCAACCGAATCTGGCATGTGCCAGCAGCACCATCGCCACATGAGATGGTTGGGGTCACACATAAGAGGGCGGGCATAAGAGTTGAGTGCAGGAAATGTGAGGCACATGGCAAGGCACATCATTCATCTCTCGCGTCGTCCACCTCTCGCCACACAGCCTGACTCCCACCATGTTCTCTACCCCTCCCCCCCCCCGCTCCTTCCCTCCCCATGCCTTACACCCCTCGCCCCCTGCGTGGCACCTTGAATAGGTTGGCGTGAGCATGGGCGTGCAGGGCGGGGGCGAGGGCGAGGAGACGCGAGCGGATGAGCGCGGGAGGCAGGCGCGAGGCGAAGCGCGTGTGGCGCAGCACGGGGTGGGCGCGGCGGTGGAAGAGCGCCCCTAGGTCCAAAGCATGCGCGCGCGCTATCAGGTCAAACGCGTTCACCCACTCCGGCCCCTCCTCCCCCGCCCCCGCTCCCGCCCCCCCCTCCCCTGCTCCTCCTGCCCGCCCCTCCTCCACCACCCCTGCCTGTGCCTCACAGCCTCCCAGCTGCTGCTGCCGCTGCTGCCGCTGCTGCCGCTGCTGCCGTGGTGCGCGGGCTGAGGGAGACGGGCAGCGACGCCTGCAGGGAGGGCGAGTGCGGCACTCGCACTGACAGCTCTGCCACTGGGTGTAGCTGCAAGGGGAGTGAGCACACAGACACACGAGCAGCGGGGCATGGGGCAGGAATGAGGATGGACGGAGGCCCGAGCAGGGAGTAGGTGAGTGGAATGGGGGCAGGGCGAGGGCAGGGCGAGGGCAGGGCGAGGGCATGACGCAGCACACAGCGCATTTCCTATCCGCGCATCCACCACCACCATGCCACCCTCCCTCATCTGCCCCTCTCCATCCCGTCCTTCCCTCACCCCCCTCTCCCCCTGCCACCCCTCGCCCCACCCTCCCCCTTCCCCCCTCACCCCAGCATGCAGCAGCACGTCCTCAGTGCCCGCCGCCCCCTCCGTGTCATTAGGCAGCGGGTATGCGCGGTGGTAGTCGCGCTGAAACCACTCGTCCCGCCGTATCGCCTCCAGCCCTGGCCGCTGCCATGCCACATGGACACGGCAGGAGCGAGCGGGGGGCGGGAAAGAGAGGGTGGAGAAAGAAAAGCGGGGGGGAAGGCAGAGGAGAATGGGGAAGAGAAGAAGGGTTGGTGGGAGCATGAGGGCGTGCGGGGGAAGGAGTGGCGGTGAGATGGCACATGGCATGCAGGTAGCACACACGGATGGGGTCTGGGGCGAGGGAACAGGGGGAAACGCAGGAAGAGCAGGAGTGGGGGGGTGGGGAGGGCGGGCACCATACATACGGTGGCGGGGTGAAGGAGGGCGGGCGGCATACATACGGTGGCAGGCGGCATACACACGGTGGCAGGCGGCATACATACGGTGGCGGGCGGCATACACACGGTGGCAGGCGGCATGGCATACATACGGTGGCGGGGTCGGGGTTGAGGATGCGCGTGATGAGGCGCTTCACCCCGGGCGAGAACCACTCGGGGAACTTGAAGTGCGCACGGGATATCTGGTGGAGAGGGCGGAAGAATAGGCAGTGAGAAAGCAGCGGAGAGGGAGGGAGGGAGGGAAGGGAGAGAGGAGAGCCTTGTTGGTGAGAGAGACAAGGCTGCTGTGCATGCAGGACTAGGCTGGCGTCCCTTCCCACGGGACAAGGGGCGTGCAGTAAGCGTGAGAGCAGAGGCTCGAATCGAAGCGTGGCGGCGCGAATCATAGAGCAGCACACCTTGTCATAGAGCAGCACGAGGTCGGGCTCATCAAAGGGCACATAGCCCGCCAGCAGCACGAAGAGGATCACGCCGCACGACCACACGTCCGCCTTGCGCCCGTCGTACCCCTTGTTGTGCAGCACCTGGGGGTTAGCAGGGGCGCAGGGTGGCGCAGGGGGTTGCAAGGGGCGCGCAGGGGCAAGCAGGGGGGGGCGGGCACAGGGGAGGAGTGAACTGCGAGGGCGGTGGGTGTGGGCTGGGCTGGGTGCGGTGCGGTGGGCACAGCGGCAGAGGGGGCTGACGGCAGGGTGGAGTGGGGGTGGGGGGCATGACGAGGGGGGTGGGGCAGAGGGAATAAGGGGAGCACCTCAGGGGCACATAGTTGGGCGTGGGGGAGTAATGGAATAATGGAGTCGTGGAGTGGGCATGCGGAGGGGCGCACCTCAGGAGCGACGTAGTTGGGCGTGCCACATGTGGTGTGCAGCAGCCCGTCGCGGTGCTGCTGCTGCGGCAGGGCGCTCAAACCGAAGTCAGAGACCTTGAGATTGCCGCGCTCGTCCACCAGCAGGTTCTCCGGCTGATGCCATGCCACGTCACAGCATGCCACGCCACGCACAGAGTGGGATGAGATGAGAGCGAGCAGGAGAATGCGAGGTAAGACGCGCAAGTGTTGAAGTCGGCGCAGAGAATGGCGGAACTGGGAAAGCAGAATCCGCATCAGGAAAAGGGAGTAATGAAAGAGATTGTTACTTTAAGGTCGCGGTGGCAGACGCCCTTGGGAATACCTTGAGGTCGCGGTGGCAGACGCCCTTGGCGTGGCAGCAGTCGACGGCGTCCACCAGCTGCTGGAAGTACCGCCGCGCCTCGCTCTCCGCCAAACGCCCGCGGTACACCTGCGCGCGCACACCAGAGGAGAGGAGTTAAGCCGGAAGGCGCGCAAGGGGCGGAGGCCGCAGGTGGGGGAAAGGAGAGTGGAGGTGCGCTGCGAGTAACGAGGAGGGCGACTGAGCGACACAATGGATGGCAAATACTGTCAAACCGCGCGACGGGCAATAGTGGGGGGTTGCGGGCGAAGAGTGAGCGGATGCGGGCGAGAGTGAGCGGATGCGGGCGAGAGTGGCGGCAGCGAGAGCGCGAGGGGGAAGGCGCGCGCACTGACGATGCGGTCGAAGAGCTCGCCGCCCGCGGCGAACTCGAGCACCATGAAGATCTTGTTGCGCGACGCCAGCACCTGCCGGCCGGCATGCACGGGACGGCACGGAGGGACACGGGGCACGGTTGACGGTTGGGTGACGTGCCGCCTTTCGACCCTAAGAACCGCTTCAGCACGATAGTTCAAGGATAAAGGGCTAGGGCTCGACAGTACTCCATCTACATACGCGTTTGAGAGTACCTCGATAAGCTGGACGATGTTGGGATGACGAACCATCTTCATTATCGAGACCTCGCGCTTTATCTGAGCAACACACGGAAACGGAGGAGAGCCGGTTGTGAGCGACGCGTGGCGCGGCACGACAACGGGCTATGCGGGAACGCGGAGCGCAGCAAGGAAGGCGCGAAACGGCGCGGGGAGGAGTGCGCGACAGGAGTTGTGGCGTCACCTGGTCCGCCATTCTGTGCTGGAGAATCCGGTCCTTGTCCATGACCTTGATCGCCACGCGCCGCCCGCTCTCCACGTCCTGTCCTAACTTCACCTTGGCGAAGTTGCCCTCGCCCAGCGTCCGCCCCAGCTCGTACTTGCCCACCCGCTTCACCCCCGAGCTCCCCCTCATTGCCGCGCGGTCGGGCACTAGAGCGAGGGAAGCGGTTGGATGGATAAAGAACGGCAGCGGAGACTCGTACGTGAAAGAAAAATCGGCACGCAGAGTAACGCGAAGAGAACGGAGAAGCAGAATAAATAAACTACTCTTGGTGCAGCAGCAACGCTAAACTCTCCAGCGAACGGAAAAGGAAGATAGTGTTCTAGACATCGTGAACCTACGTTCGAGGCGGCCTCAAGCGAACAAATGCCTGGCGCACGGAGCGTGCGTGAAAATTAGGACGCGGCACCTGTTTTCATAATGCCGCGATCGATCGTGGGAGGGGATCGATGTGCCGCTTCTACAGTATATTGGCGACGTCGCCAATGCCTGGTATCCGTTTTTCTCAGAACGTCGAAAATGTACAGTAAACGGGTACCCAAAATGGTGGCACCTGCAGCTCGCACGATTGATGGGCCATGGTGCACACATCGATCGTGCGTTTGGGTTGGTGAGAGGGCACATCGCGCCACAGGTGACAGCCGCGATCGATCGGCGTCGCCCAGGGTCGCAGGCCAAAAGTGATTGGATAACGACCATTTTTGCTTCGCTCTGAATGGTTAACGACCAAGTTGTTGGTGTATTCCGCCTCCCGCCAAACATGCAATTTCGACCCTGGCACCCGTGGCTCGGCGTGCCTATCACGCTGGAAATTTGCAGTGCGTGCACATCGGTGTGACAGTCGATGTGGGAGAATCGGTGTACGGGCTTCGATTTCCCTCGATCCTGGCAAAGTCAAAACATGTACTGCGTCCTTAGGGTTGGAGAGTCCAAGTCAGGGCGGGTCGACGTTCAGTTTGAACACGCCAATGGTGTCTTCGCTGCTTGATAGAACAATAATACAAACGGTGTTTCAGTTTATGAATGCACATAGCGACTATTGGGAGTCACTGTGCAAGGGTGGATGCCAGCAGCGGGCCGCATTCCTCCAGGTACACCGTGGGTCATCCGGAGACAGGGGAGGCCGAATGGCTGGGCGCCGCGCGGCGATATTTTTAGTGCCAGCACGATCCTGCGCAATAGGCGTTTGGCAGGATTCCATTCCAAAGTGCTCGGATCTGGGGTTTGTCTGAGCTGGCGCGGAAGCCGAGGGGCAAAAAGCCCTCTGGTTCGTCCACATCATCGCATGCCTTTCTGCACGTGGCATGCATCGCTGTCATGCCCCACACAAAGTCCCATCTGCGAAGGCCGATTCTTGTGCTTCAAATGCCCATCGACCTGCCTTTCTTCTCAATTCAGCTTGCTGCTTTCCAGATTTCATCTCCAAGCTTTCACATACTGTAATTTCTCGTCAGCTCTCATCTTGCGTCCGCTCCCAGATTTGTAGAGCCATGGCTGCCTACAATGGCAAGTACACAGGTACGATGTCACGGTTTTCTTTTAGGGGTTCACAAGTTTCATTAACGCACATGGGTTAAAAAATACAGTTAATTCTTGGAAACTCTTGCCTTATTTTTCACAAATATACAGCTTGACGTAAGTCAAGTACGAGAGAATACTTGACTTTTTGATTTACTAACCCGTGGATTCATCTTGTTTATTGCAGAGGAGCTGATTGCCAACGCCAAGAAGATCGCGACCCCTGGAAAGGGTATCTTGGCGGCTGATGAGAGCACTGGAACCATCGGCAAGCGCCTGAGCGCCATCAACGTTGAGAATGTGGAGTCGAACCGCCGCGCTCTGCGTGAGCTTCTGTTCACCGCGCCCGGCGCGATGCAGTACCTGAGCGGCGTGATCCTGTTCGAGGAGACGCTGTACCAGAAGACCGCGGACGGCAAGCCGTTCGTCGACCTGATGAACGAGAACGGCGTGCTGCCGGGCATCAAGGTCGACAAGGGCACCGTCGACATCGCCGGCACCAACGGCGAGACCACCACGCAGGGCCACGACGGACTCGGCGCGCGCTGCGCCGAGTACTACAAGGCTGGCGCGCGGTTCGCCAAGTGGCGCGCGGTGCTGAAGATCGGCGCGAACGAGCCGACGGAGCTGGCGATCCAGCTGAACGCGCAGGGCCTGGCGCGGTACGCCATCATCTGCCAGGAGAACGGGCTGGTGCCCATCGTGGAGCCGGAGATCCTGACCGACGGCTCGCACACCATCGAGAAGTGCGCTGAGGTCACGGAGCGCGTGCTGGCCGCCACGTACAAGGCGCTGAGCGAGCAGAAGGTGCTGCTGGAGGGGTCGCTGCTGAAGCCCAACATGGTGACGCCCGGCTCCGACGGCCCCAAGGTGGACGAGCAGACCATCGCCGCGCTCACCGTGCGCGCGCTGCAGCGCACCGTGCCCGCCGCCGTGCCCGGCATCATGTTCCTGTCGGGCGGGCAGAGCGAGGAGCAGGCGACGGTGAACCTCAACGCCATGAACGCGCTCGACACGAAGAAGCCGTGGACGCTGTCCTTCTCGTACGGGCGCGCGCTGCAGAAGAGCACGCTGGCCGCGTGGCAGGGCAAGGAGGAGAACGTCAAGGCGGCGCAAGAAGTGTTCACCACGCGCGCGCGCAGCAACTCCGAAGCCACCCTCGGCAAGTACGCCGGCGGCGCCGCCTCCGGTGCCGCGACGGAGAGCCTCCACGTGAAGGGCTACGTGTACTAGGTAACTGGGGCGATACCCCCTTAGATAAGTGCCATGTTTTTACCTTTGGCATGATTTAGTTTCCTGCAATTATACCCCCGCTGAGTTTCATTCACACCTGAGCACAAGAGTGGAAAGGAATCACAAATAACCAACACGCTGTGAGATCCCACATGCAACAGGCGGGAATGAGGGTGGTGCCTTGTCTCGTGCTCCTTTTCCCTCCTACATTGGCATAACGAACATGCTCACCCAGCCAGCTGGCTGAAGTGCAGGGTAAGCTGCAGAGTTGCCTGTCCACCATATTAGTATCCACAACACCAGCATTGGTGCTGAGCACACTAGCTTGCTTCCTTGGGTTCATGTAATATAGCAGCAAGAGCTGATTGAATGCTCCTTTAGCCAGATTAAATATACTGCTCAGAAAAACGCTATTACGAGCTGCAACTTTAGGAAAGGCAGAATCAACAGGCAGAGGTTGTGGATGCAACTGGTTGAGATCTTCGGGGAAATCAACAGGTGGCAAGCAGGGACCCCCTTCACTCAAAGAAGCATGCACGTTGACGGAGGAACATCATAATCTTACTCATTGTTGCTGGACCCACTCACTACTACCAGAACCTTGACTCTCAGCTTGCCATCCCTTCATACCTACCACCTGGAATGTTCTGACCGGTGTGTGGTGGTTGGCACGGAGGCATTGAGTGTGGCACGGAGGCATTGAGTGTGGCAGGGAGGCATTGAGTGTGGCATGCCATGCCATGCCATGCCATGCCACGCCACGCCATGCCATGCCATGCCACGCCACGCCACATGCAAGTCAAGGGTGCGGGTGTGGAAAGGGAGGGATGACTTCGATGCTGGGCAGCAGAGCATAGCAGCGGATCATGCATGCAGAGCGCATGAGAGCACCTCGGCTCAGCTCGGCTCACCTCGGCTCACCTGCGCGCACCTGGGCGCACCTGGAGCACGGTGAAGAGACAGAGGATAGCGGTGATGATGCAGCCCGCCAATACGCCCTGCCACGTGTCACCATGTGGCAACACAGCGCGTGGCAACACGGCATGTGATGAGGGTGCATGGCACGCGAGCAACGGCGTTGCACGAGTGAGTGAGGGCACGGAGAGAAGGAGAGAGGGGGATGCATGGACGAGCAGGGCGAGGCGCCAGCAGAACGCAGTGCGCGCGGATGAAGGCGGGGCGAGAGCGGTGCGAGCAGGAGCGGGTGGAGGGCGGCAGCAGGGGCGGCAGCAGGGGCGGCAGCAGGGGCGGCAGCAGGGGCGGCAGCAGGGGCGGCAACAGGGGCGGCAGCAGGGGCGGCAACAGGGGCGGCAGCAGGGGCGGCAGCAGGGGCGGCAACAGGGGCGGCAGCAGCCGCGAGTCTCACAATGACCAGCTGTCGAGTTCGCTTCCCCACCATCCCCGTGCTGGCTGTCGCACACTGGCGGCTGTCGCACACCGGGAAGGACAATCACCGCGCGTCGCACGACCGCATGGCGGCAGCGCGTCGAAGCACCTCGCACGTCTATTTCACACAACTGACGAAATAGACGCGTCTATTCCGCAGCTTCGCGTGTCTATCCTGCGCTAAGACCGTCCACTACTCACGCGGCGAGCCGCCGCAGGAGTGACCGCAAGGAGCGAGAGGGGCACGGGAGTGGCGCGGGAGGGGCGAGAGAGCGCGAGGCGAGCGCGTGAGACGCGCGGAGCGGGAAGAGCGAGGAGCAGCGCGGGATAGCGACGAGGGGGGTCGCATGGCGGTACGGGGAGCGGGGAGGCGACAGGCGAGGCAGGCGGAAGAACGGTGTGGGTGAGAGCTGCGGAGTCAGCGCGAGGCGATGCGAGCACGAGAGTGAGACGTGCAGCGCGGCGTGACGTGGGGAAGCAAGTGCGGTGAGGTGGAACAGCATCGCGCACGTTGTTGGGGAGGCTTGCTGCTCGTGCCGTGGTCTTGGTCCACGCTGCTTTATCAGAATGGCTTATAATTCGTTACGTGTCTAAAGAGCATATCGTATACACCGGAACACATTGACAATAAAATTGCGGATTTGATTGCATATGGTGATTGCAAATGCTGGACACACATTGCGGTTGCATTCTATCATCGCATATGCTAACTGTGTGAACGGCTGGCATCTAACAGGTGTTGCATTACACTGCACTCCCTCCTAGGCGACATCTACCCGCCTGCCTGTATGCAGGGTTTAAGGTTCCTATGTGTCTCAGCAGAATGACCATATACAGGGACCAAGTGGGCAGTAGGCCAAGGGTTGACAGCGCTTGACCGACCAACGTCACCCGTGCATGCACTATGCTTGCCTGGCCTTGACCACGCCCACATCAGCTGGGCGCACCACCCGGCCGTGAAGAGTGTAGCCCACCTGCCAGACACACCGGGGCGCAGGCGCACAGGGGCACAGGGGCACAGGGGCACAGGGGCATGGGGGCACAGGAGCATAGGGGCACAGGTAAGCAGCGACTGCAGGCAAGGTGCATATGCAGGAAAGCAGGATGAACAATCAATCTCTTGCAGTGGTACCTTGATGGTGTGATGTTACCTTGAGCACGTGGGCGATGGTGCCGGGCTCCTTGGTGGGGTCGTCGAGTTCAAACACGGCGTTGTGCAGGTTGGGGTCAAAGCGCTGCCCCATGGGGTCGTGGCGCTCCATGCCATGCTGCCGAAACACCTGCCACGTGCCACTCCCACTCACTCCACCACACCACCACACATGCACGCACCATCACACATGCATGCACAGCCAAACAATGACACACATGAATGCGCGCAAAACTACAAGCGCGCGGACACACATGGTCGCACACAGCAACACAGGTGCATGGCAAACACAGGTGCATGGCAAACACAGGTGCATGGCAAACACAGGTGCATGGCAAACACAGGTGCATGGCAAACACAGGTGCATGGCAAACACAGGTGCATGGCAAACACAGGTGCATGGCAAACACAGGTGCATGGCAAACACAGGTGCATGGCAAACACAGGTGCATGGCAAACACAGGTGCATGGCAAACACAGGTGCATGGCAAACACAGGTGCATGGCAAACGCACAGCTTCAGAGGAAGCTGCAAGGGGTGGCGTGCATAAAGAGGAGCGTGGGGTGGCGTGCATGGAGGGAGGGGCGTGCATGGAGGGAGGGGCGTGCATGGAGGGAGGGGCGTGCATGGAGGGAGGGGCGTGGGGGTGGCGTGCATGGAGGGGCGTGGGGGTGGCGTGCATGGAGGGGCGTGGGGTGGCGTGCATGGAGGGGCGTGGGGTGGCGTGCATGGAGGGAGGGGCGTGCATGGAGGGAGGGGCGTGGGGTGGCACCTGCATGAGCTGCTTCTCCGTCATCTCCACCCCATCCAACAGCGACTTCAGCAGCACCTCCGGGTCGCGCCCCCCCGCACCCTCCCCGCCCTTGCCCTGCCCACTGTCGGGGGAGGCGGGGTGTGTTGGCAGGGAGGCAGAGGCGGCGGCCCGAGAGAGATTGTCCGCCACGTCCGCCAGCCCCTTGGCAAACCCCTGCCGCCCATGCCATGCCATACCATGCCATGCCATGCCATGCCATGCCATGCCATGCCATGCCCCACCCAAACCCATCCCCATGCCCATGCCATGCCATGCCGCGCCCATACCGCAGCCCAGAGGGTATGACAGGAAGCAAGGCATTGTTAGGAGGTGTATGGATGAGAGCACAGCGCTGCAGCGCATGGCATGGCAGCAGCGTAGGTGGCACAAGCAGTACGCCACGGGGATGCAGAGGCCGTATGAGAGCGAGGCAAGGCAGGAGGCGTGGATAGCAGGGAGCAAGAGAGCGACCGACTCAAGACGACCACGAGGCAGGCTGCACGGCCTGTGCTGCCAGCGCACAGCACTGCACGGGTGGCACCTGCACGGCGAAGAGTCTGGCGGCGTCTATGTCTCTCTGGGCGCGCTGGCGCAGGTTCTCCATGTCCGCGTACGCGCGCAGCAGCCGCTCCCGCGCCTCCTCCGCCTGCCGCCGCCACTCCTCCTCCTGCGCACTCCCCTCGCCGCCAACTCTGCCCTCCGCCTCCTGCCCCGCACCCTGCGCCATTCCCCCCTCAGCCTCAGCCGCTGCTGCTTCTGCCCCCGCTGTCTGCTCGCGCGCCTTGCCGCCCGCAGGCCCCTCGGTGCACAGGTGGCGGGCAGGGGGTTCGCGGAGTAAGGCGGGCAGCAGTAGAGGGGCGGGCGGAGGAAGGGACAGAAACGGGCGAGAGGCGAGCGGGTGAGAGGGTGGACGGCGAGGGGCGGAACCGGAACGGTCTGGGACGAGGCGCTGGGATGCGGCTGCCGACGCGGGAAGCGGCGAGTGGTTCCAATACGCCCTGCCCACGGCGCGCAGGAGGCCCGGCACGTGGGCACCAGAGCGCGCGGGGGGCATGCTCATGGCGCTGTGCGGCGATCTACCGCGATCTGCTGATTGTCGGGTTCTTAGAGTAATCTTAGGCACGCGTCTGGGGTCATGCGGATGTATCTAGAACGAGAAGTAAATCATCACGTGGGTAACGACATAGACGAAGAAAGCAGTCAGGACATGTTACAGAAATATTCAGAACGAACTTTAATAACGAACTTTTCCAAGAAACCAGGAATGGTAACCAAGGGTAGGAAACTGTTATGTGTTGTACTAAACAGAGTGCGTGGAAGACTTATAAAAGGATGTGATCACAGAATGCGGAATACAATGAAGGAACGAGCATTTATAGGGCGAAAACGTACTAGCTGTGCAGGGACCAGACCCTCAGATTCACTTTTAGGGACTTCGATGCATCAGAGTCTTTTTGAAAATAAGATGTTTTTCAGTGCTACTAAAAAAAGTAGCATAATTTTTTTGATATTTGATATCTTTGATATTATTACCGCCCTTATGAAACATGACAGCCCAGGGCCTTGCTAGCAATTTAAATAACAACTGAGACTCCAAGCGGTTCCCATTCAGTTTATACTAGTCATCTCGGGCATTTTTCAGGAAGGATTAGGAATGTGCATTCAGTCTACACTTCGATAAATTGCTAAAAATTCAGTGTTAACTATGAAATGAAGGTCGAAAATAAGTGTCACAATAGGACCAGAGAAGCGCAGCCACGTGATCTGTAGAAAAAACAACGCTCGAAACGAGCGCTAGTACCCCCAAAACGCGGAAGGATCCGCACATGTGCAGGAAGTGCAGTGGGCGCTCTTCATTCGCGAGCGCCGATGACCGATGATGCTCGCAACCATCCCACGCCCTTGCTGGCTTGGCAAGAGGACCAGACAAGCGCAGCCACGTGACCCGGTGGAAGAAAAACGCTCGGAACGAGCGCTTCCACCCCCAAAACGCGGAAGGATCCGCACGTGTGCAGGAAGTGCAGCGGGCGCTCTTCATTCGCGAGTGCCGATGACCGATGATGCTCGCAACCCTCCCATGCCCTTGCTGGCTTGGCAAGAGGACCAGAAAAGCGCAGCCACGTGACCCGGTGGAAGAAAAACGCTCGGAACGAGCGCTAGTACCCCCAAAACGCGGAAGGATCCGCACATGTGCACAAAGTGCAGCGGGCGCTCTTCATTCACGAGCGCCGATGACCGATGACGCTCGCAACCCTTCCACGCCCTTGCTGGCTTGGCAAGAGGACCTGACAAGCGCAACCACGTAATCCGGTGGAAGAAAAACGCTCGGAACGAGCGTTTTTACGCCCAAAACGCTGTAGGATCCCCACATTTGTGCAGGAAGTGCAGCGGGCGCTCTTCATTCGCGAGCGCCGATGAGCGATGATGCTCGCAACCCTCCCACGCCCTTGTTGGCTTGGCAAGAGGACCAAACAAGCGCAGCCATGTGATCCGGTGGAAGAAAAACTCTCCGAACGAGCGCCTTCACCCCCAAAACGCGTTAGGATCCGCACATGTGCAGGAAGTGCAGCGGGCGCTCTTCATTCGCGAGCGCCGATGACTGATGATGCTCGCAACCCTCCCACGCCCTTGCCGGCTTGGCAAGAGGACCAGACAAGCACAGCCACGTGACCCGGTGGAAGAAAAACGCTCGGAACGAGCGCTTTTACCCCCAAAACGCGGAAGGATCCGCACGTGTGCAGGAAGTGCAGCGGGCGCTCTTCATTCGCGAGCGCCAATGACCGATGATGCTCGCAACCCTCCCATGCCCTTGCTGGCTTGGCAAGAGGACCAGACAAGCGCAGCCACGTGACCCGGTGGAAGAAAAACGCTCGGAACGAGCGCTAGTACCCCTAAAACGCGGAAGGATCCGCACATGTGCAGGAAGTGCAGCGGGCGCTCTTCATTCACGAGCGCCGATGACCGATGATGCTCGCAACCCTCCCACGCCCTTGCTGGCTTGGCAAGAGGACCAGACAAGCACAGCCACGTGACCCGGTGGAAGAAAAATAATCGGAACGAGCGCTTTTACGCCCAAAACGCTGTAGGATCCCCACATTTGTGCAGAAAGTGCAGCAGGCGCTCTTCATTCGCGAGCGCCGATGACCGATGATGCTCGCAACCCTCCCACGCCCTTGCTGGCTTGGCAAGAGGACCAGACAAGCGCAGGCACGTGACTCGGCGGAAGGAAAATGCTCGGAACGAGCGCTTTCACCCCCAAAATGCGGAAGGATCCGCACATGTGCATGAAGTGCAGCGGGCGCTCTTCATTCGCGAGCGCCGATTGTCAGAATGTTATTGTCTAGCCTGTAGTGGGGTGCTCTATAGCGAGTACAACCCATCTAGGGTTTGCTATATGTATCCTCATTGCTGCTAGTAAAAACCCTCTTTGCCTAATTCTCTCTTGCCTAGCTAGGGCTTTCCTAGCTATGGCGCCTGATTCTAGCTACTATCTTAACATGGTGTCAGAGCAGTTCTGCTCCTGGCCTGTGGGCCCAACTGCTTCCGCTGCCCTACTCTGTGTCGCGCGCCCCGTGGCGCGCGACCTGCTTCAATTTTTCATCCCGCCGCGCGCTCGGGGCGCGCGGCGGTGTCCTGCCATGGTGGAGCCCGCGCGCACCCCGCCCGTCCGTCGCGGCGCCCTGGGGAGCCCGCGCGCACCCCGCCCGTTCGTCGCGGCACCCTGGGGAGCCCGCGCGCGCCCCGCCCGTCTGTCGCGACGCCCTGGGGAGCCCGCGAGCGCCCCGCCCGTCCGTCGCGACGCCCTGGGGAGCCCGCGAGCGCCCCGCCCGTCCGTCGCGACGCACTGGGGAGCCCGCGAGCGCCCCGGCCGTTCGTCGCGACGTCCTAGGGAGCCTGCGCGCGCCCCGCCTGTTCGTCGCGGCGCCCTCGGGAACCCGCGCGCGCCCCGCCAGGCCGTCGCGGCGCCCTGGGGAGACGCGCGCGCGTCCCCCCTGCCCGTCCATCGCGGCGCCCTGAAGAGCCGCACGCGCCACGCCCCTTCCCCCGCCCCACCTGTCCGTTTTGGCGCCCTCGTGACGCGCGCCTTCCCCCCTCACCGTCCCCCGCGCTCCTGCCCCTATCCCACCCGTTTTAGGGTTTGGGGGTGAGGAGTGTGGGGGTGGTGGTTGTGGGGGTGTCGGTTGTGCGCGCCCGTCCTCTTCTCCTCCTCCTCCTCCGTCTCCCACTGCTGCAGCTGTCGCTGAGGGGGGTGGATGAGTGGGAGACTGGGGTTTAGGGTTTAAGGGGGGTGCCGTGGGAGTGGAGCTAGGGGTGAAGCAGTGGGTGTGTGGGGGGTGTGTGGGACAGTTGGAGGAGGTTGAGTGGAGGCTGCCGTCTTGTCGTCAGCAGCACCTGTAGTCCGGGGCGCTGTCCTGGTAGCCCAGTCGTAGCCAGCTGTGCCAGTCGCCCGTGGGTCCGTTGCTCCTGCCGCTCGTCTTAGCCGCGGAGCCAGTTACTCCAGAAGTCCGTGCCGATGTTCCGGTAGCCGCTGTGCCAGTGTGACTCCTGTCGCCCGTGTGTCTGCAGCTTCAGTTGCCGCCTCCCATCTTCTCTCCTCTCGCCAGCCCTCCTCCTCCTCACTTGCCCTCTGTGACTGCCTCTAGCTTTGCTCATAAATTGTGAACTACTGCTATGACTGCTTGTTGTGCTGATTACACCCCACTTTGGCTATGGGGGTGTGTCAGAATGTTATTGTCTAGCCTGTAGTGGGGTGCTCTATAGCGAGTACAACCCATCTAGGGTTTGCTATATGTATCCTCATTGCTGCTAGTGAAAACCCTCTTTGCCTAATTCTCTCTTGCCTAGCTAGGGCTTTCCTAGCTATGGCGCCTGATTCTAGCTACTATCTTATCACCGATGACCGATGATGCTCGCAACCCTCCCACGCCTTTGCTGGCTTGGCAAGAGGACCAGTCAAGCGCAGCCACGTGACTTGGCGGAAGAAAAACGCTTGGAATGAGCGCTTCTACCCCCAAAATGCTGAAGGATCCGCATTCGTGCAGGAAGTGCAGCGGGTGCTCTTCATTTGCGAGCGCCGATGACCGATGATGCTCGCAACCCTCCCACGCACTTGCTGGCTTGGCAAGAGGACCAGACAAGCGCAGCCACGTGACCCGGTGGAAGAAAAACGCTCAAAACGAGCGCTAGTACCCCCAAAACGCGGAAGGATCCGCACATGTGCACGAAGTGCAGCGGGCGCTCTTCATTCGCGAGCGCCGATGACCGATGATGCTTGCAACCCTCCCACGCCCTTGTTGGCTTGGCAAGAGGACCAGACAAGCGCAAACATGTGACCCGGTGGAAGAAAAACGCTCAAAACGAGCGCTTTCACCCCCAAAACGCGGAAGGATCCGCACATGTGCAGGAAGTGCAGCGGGCGCTCTTCATTCGCGAGCGCCGATGACTGATGATGCTCGCAACCCTCCCACGCCCTTGCTGGCTTGGAAAGAGGCCTAGACAAGCGCAGCCACATGACCCGGCGGAAGAAAAACGCTTGGAATGAGCGCTTCTACCCCAAAAATGCGGAAGGATCCGCACATGTGCACGAAGTGCAGCGGGTGCTCTTCATTCGCGAGCGCCGATGACTGATGATGCTCGCAACACTCCCACGCCCTTGCTGGCTTAGCAAGAGGACCAGACAAGCACAACCATGTGATCCGGTGGAAGAAAAACGCTCAGAACGAGTGCTTTCACCCCCAAAACGCAGAGGGATCCGCACATGTGCAGGAAGTGCGGCGGGCGCTCTTCATTCGCGAGCGCCGATGACCGATGATGCTCGCAACACTCCCACGCCCTTGCTGGCTTGGCAATATGACTAGACAAGCGCAACCACGTGACCCGGTGGAAGAAAAACGCTCGAAACGAGCGCTAGTACCCCCAAAACGCGGAAGGATCCGCACATGTACAGCAAGTGCAGTTGGCGCTCTTCATTTGCGAGCGCCGATGACCGATGATGCTCGCAACCCTCCCACGCCCTTGCTAGCTTGGCAAGAAGACTAGAAAAGCACAACCACG